GTTCGAAAGATAAGACAAACACCTCAAAGTTTTCCATTCTTTGCTGTTTACATAATAAATGACGAATTGTGCAAGTGCTTGGAATATCAACGGCAGAACAGAATTGTGCCGGGCGTCGAGCGCCGACCTGGTTATCTTTAGGTCGAAAAGGAAGGAATGAATCATTTCATGTATTAAATAAAATTTTTATTAAAAATTATAATCATAATTTAAGAATATTAAACAGTGAACAATTTTTAAATAGCATGCTTGGAAATCTAACAAAAACCTATAAAAAAAATCCACATAACGGTGCTAAAACATAAAAACATTCCTACATATTTTTAATGAGCAATAATTATGTTCACATTATTCTTAAGACAAAATTAATAAAAATGTTAACTAAGTCCAATAAGATCGAATATTTACTTAAAACAATAAATCAATAATCAAAAGTAATTGATACATAATCTAACAAAAACCTTTAAAAGAAAATTTCCACATAACGGTGCTAAAACAAAAACATTCCTACATATTTTTAATGAGCAATTATTATGTTCACATTATTCTTATAACAAAATTAAAAAAAATGTTAACTAAATCCAATAAGATCGAATATTTAATTAAAACAATAAATGAATAGTAATTGATACATTAATAATACACTTAAGAAGATTTTAAAGAAACGTGAATTTAGTTTCATCGTCAATATTTTTTTTTTCATACAACTACTTGTTCTTCGTATTAATGGTCTTCCCAGCAAATACAGAAGCTAAAGGTGTCAACCCCGACGCGGTTGCGATCGCGGACACGGCTTTTACAAAACTGTTCCCCCCATTGGAATCACCAGAAACACCTTTCAATACAACAGCTTTAACAATATCTGGTCTAGGATTTATAACACAATCAAAGTTATCCATACTAAAGCCTTCCGATATTTATGTCGGTATATCTCTGCATGAAATCTGTAAACAAAAGTTCTATTAAGATTAGTTTCCATTTGTTGACATGTTTTATTTAGATTATTATATTTTTTATTGTATAATATTACATTTTTTATTTTATAATTAATACGGCTAAAGCTACGGCTATTTTCAACAAATCAAATCAAATCAAATGGATGTCCTTCATCCTTCATCAGGATCGCATGAATTCACTCGCTATGCAAGATGCGAATGTGGCCGACTTATATAATATATAAATTTAATGGAATACATATTTTAATGCAAAAAACAACTTTTTATTTGAATACCTAATTATCTTTTAATTAGGTATAATAAGCTTTACGCAAAGACGCGCATTTTAAAAAACTTTGGCAAAGGTGCGATGAGAATTCATACGTGGAATTGTATTAAAAACATATTTTGCGGTTCCAAATTTGACGCCTTCATCGTCAACATTATGTCAAAAAAGTAAAATCTTCGCTGATCGTAAGTGTACACCAGTGTTGAAAGTCTAGAGTTCGACTCTAGGTTATGGCAAATACTTACCAACCGTTTTACGAACTTATACTTCTCTAGCAATACAACGTTTTGTATGTATGTATATAAACTGATGAAGAAACTGATTTCTTGCCTCTTTTATACATTATTGAGTGCTTGTGACGCGGTCAATTGGTTATAGAATTTCCTGGAAACAAAATAAATAGTTGCATCGCAGAAACATTATGCACATAAAGCGGGACGTTTGTTGTTTATCAATTTAAGTATGCATCTCATATGTGAGGATTACGCGGTACGCTTATCTTTTTCATTTTACTTATGGTTTCGCCACGTGATTCTTACTAAGGTAGAGTTACTTCCTGTGGGGTAATCTTTTTATGGGAAAAAGGGACAAACGACGGCAGGTGGGCCACTTGATGGTAAATTTTCACCGCCACCCATGGACGCACGCAAAACTAGAGGAGTTACAAATGCAATACTTTTAGGATAGGATCTCTACTTGAAGGTCCCTAAGTCTTATCGATCCGGAAATACCGCTGGGATCCCACAACTTGATTTTGCATGGCAGAAAGGTAGGTACGTGAAAAATGCACAGTCGTTGACGCGTCGTACGGTGGAGAAACTCAGCAGCAGATATCGATCTGAACAACTGCTCAGAGATGGATTCGATAAAAATGCAAAGAGATGAAATATTTTATTTGCAAGGCCAAAGGGTCGAGACGATAGGAAAAGACCTGTTTGCCGAAGATTTTAGTAGCTCTACGTTGGATGCGATCAAATGGAAGAAGCTGGTAATGGAGCGATCCATCCCGCAGATGAGAACAGTACGCCATTTGCGGCCAAATCTGCGCTTTGTAAAGCTGCAGGCGATGGGATGGCAATAAATACTTCCTCGCTCTACCTAGGACACCAAGCTTTTTAAAAGTCAGTTTGGCTTTCTCTTCCAAGTGACCGTGAAATCAAACGCTGCTCGATACGTCATGTCAACAAATCAAATCAAATCAATTCTGTGGCAACATAGTTATATACCGATGAGTGTCGGAATAAACTTGCGTCTGAAGTAGATATTTTGTTAGAAAAAAACTGCGTAACAAAGCTGCGTCTCTACTTCGGAGCTGACAGTTGATAATGGACTCCTGTAGTTGGTGGGAAACGAGCGTTCACCTTTCTTAAAACGTAAGATTTCTTTTCCTTTTTATAATCAGCCATAGGATAAACTAATCTGTTTTACAATTTCTTTCAAATTAAGATCAGACAAACTATGTGATATACCTTTTATTTGTATGCTATCCATTCCTATCAGTATATAATCTATCATATCTACTACACCAATTTATCCACTATTTTAATTTTAATCTTTTGTACCTGGGAGATCGAGCTGTACGATTTCATCCTGTAAATTCGTGTTTTTTCGTTAATGTTACTCTGTAAGGTTATTCTTATTCGGATAAGTACCTGGATGACCTGGTTTTTTTCTCACAAAAAAGGAACTTGAAAGAAAGGGAAGTAATTAAAAAAAAAAGAAAAAATCACCTGGACTCGAACCGGAACTCTTCTAGTTTCGGCACGGCCTGATTTCCCACCTAAGCTATTGGCGGTGCCTAAGATATTGGCTATTATGATGGCGAAATTTACCTTCGTATTCTAACGATATTGTAGCAGTTTTTAATTGCCTGAAAGCAGGGATAAAACAACGTTTTCTAAAACTGAAATCTAGCTAAATCTATTTATTGCCCCGAAACCCACTGCATACGAAATTCCATGAAAGTTGTTACCCCAAAACACAGATATTAATTGTTAATGACAACTTGACTATAACTCATTGACAATTTTATTGATAATTAATGAAAGTAGTTCACGGATTTTATCGCGTTTTTATTTGATTTTGTAATTTCCGACGTTTCGAACCCTTTCCAGCGTTCATGGTCTGTCCATGAACGCTGTAAAGGGATCGAAACGTTGGAAGTTAAATCAAAAATAATCGCGATAAATCCGTAAACATACATTCATTTAGTAATGTGTAATAGCGTAAATACAAGAAATTATAATGTCAAGCAAATCCTGCGTGACAACAAGCTCCAAATACCAGGCCTGCGTCACAGTGACCAAGTGAAACCAGCTACAGTTGAGCGAGTGCCTGCTGTATTGCCATATGTCAGAGGAGTCATGACAAAATTGGCTATATATTTTGAAGCGTGATTCAATAAAAACAAAATAAAATAATTTCAGATTAATTTAAACTAATATTTACAAGATTTAATCATATTTCAAACCACCTAAGAAGATAAGTCGATTTTTACCATCTGTAATATCCCTCTACAAGATCCAGGAGTGTACAACTTGACTGTGAATGTAAGTAAGAGAGGCCTTACATACGACAAACCAGAAGATCAATAAAAACAGAATCAGAATAAAAGAACACATAGCTGATGTGAAGCACCGACGATTGAAGAAGTCTCCAGTTTGTGCTCACATTTTAGACCGCCCCAACCATTACATTAGATTTGATCAGCCGAAAATTCTCGCAAAAGAACACCGATTCTTTCCAAGGATGATCCGCGACGCTATTGAAATAAAGAAACATGTTAATTTCGATACAGAAGACGGTTAGGGTTTATCATCTGCTTGGCATAATTTATAAAATTAAATCCAAGCACACCAACATTGCTTGACCTCAAGATACCATAAGCGTAATTAACATAATTAACGGTAACTGGGGTTAAATTTGACATCAAGACGTGTAACAACTTACGCCCGGTTTCTGATACACTGATTATCGTAGATGTCAACTAATCAGCTGTAAAATGGCTTTTCGAATCTAAACTAATAATACCTTTAAACAAGCAATTCTTGTATTATATAATCGGAATCTCGGAAACGGCTCCAACGATTTTCATGAGATTTAGTATGTGCGTAGATTCGGGGGCGAAAAATCGATATGGCTCGGTTTCATTTTTAGAAAATGTCCTTTTATTCCTGATTTCAGGGAATGAAAAATATCATTCGAATATGACGGTAAATTTCGCTGAAAAAAATAATGTTATAATCGGTAATCGGGCGGCCCCGAAACAGAAGGCCGCGGTTCGTGACACGATCATTTTTTTTTTTTTTTTACTTTTTTTCCAAAAAACACGATTTACCAAAAAAACGAGCAAAGCTCGGTCCTCCAAGTACTTTCATTTTAGTTGCCAAAAGGATGGTTAAACTCTCCGAATTGACCAGAATGATCTTCTAAATGATCATAATGATCACTTCAAAGAGCCGTTTTCTTGGCGCAAGTGATTGTCTGGTTTAATTAATTTATTATTATTAAGTTACTTACTTTAAAAAAAGCTATTTTTTAGTTTAATGTTTCTATAATAAACTATTAAAGTAATAATTAAAATTCTGAAACTTGCGATTATTAAAATACTACATTTAGCAATAATTAAAATAATACATACGAAATTATTATAATCCCGCCTAGATATTTTAAACACAGCGGTGGGGATAAGTTCTTGTGCTAATGCTATACTGCTGCGGCGCTAGAGTATAATATTAAGGGTTAACTTATAATACGGAGTTCTTTCTTCTCCGAGTATGTGTTCCGTGCAGGTTTGTCATTTTGATTTGTAAACGTCAACTTATTTAGAATCTTTACCATAGTAGTTTATAATACGTAAATAATACAACATAAAGCTGTGTTAAATATTTTAATTAATTTTCATACATCTACATATCACGCCCTCTTCAAAGGCCACTTATCCAAGTGTAAATAGGTAAGGTTTTTTTTAGTGCATACCCTGTCCGAAATCTCTGTGCACGCATCTGATATACATATATACAAGAATTGCTCGTTTAAAGGTATTAAATAGATAGATGTCATGTCACAAAGTGTTGAGTTTCAAATATGTAACAACGCAAAATTTTTAGAGATGATGCTATATAAAAAAGGCATCCGATTCGTAATGAAATGCTTTTTGTTCAAAACAAAATCGTGTCTTTTTAGAAATGACACATAAATAGATAAACTTAAAAGGCAAAGCTTTATCTGAATAAAAAAACCAAACCGAATCGTTAGAGTCATTTTCAAGACAATAACAAGAATTGTTTATTAAAGGTTACGAAAAGTTAGTACCAGTAGGAATCGAATCAACCGTCCATGATGTAAAAACCATTCTCTTAATCTACTACATCAACAAGTGATCTACTTAATCAGGAATAGAAGACCAATTAGTTCCGCATTTCAGTACATGCAATGACGTCAACGAAATCCCAGTGTTTTCCTTAAAACTAACAACCATAAATTACATAAATGGACGCACATTTGCTTTGTCCAATGGTTCTCTGTGTATTTTGGTAATGTAAATATTTGATTTGCGTTCAGCCAAGAGTTGCATGCATTTGCGTTTAGGCGAATCGGGTTTTACGGTATAAAGATAAACAAAATGAAACTACTTTTCGACTTAACCATAAGACTTATGACTTTATTTCGATGGTGATTTTCCATTCCCGTTATAGTTATGCGATTTGAATACATTTTCAAGTGTAAACATTATCTAAAATGAAACAATGCACGTTTGAGTAAAAGAAAGCTCTCTGAAAGCTAATAAAACACTAAGATTAATTAAGTACATGGACCAATAAGAGCTATCTATCACATCAATTCAGCAAACTGACGGACTGTCTAATGAGGCAATCAAGTTAGCATACAATAAAAAACATTACTATCTTGCTTTGATGTCACCAACTGTTTGATTTCAAGAAGAAGCATTTCAAGTATACTGTATTTTTAATACAGTTATATGCCTTCTTGAAATTAGCTCATTAGCTTCGATAAAAATCTCGTAAACGATGTGCCAAAAAGAGAAATTTTATAATTAATCTACACTCATTTTATAGATAAACGCAAAAAGGTTAAATAGAACCGTTGTATAAATAGAACCGATTTTAAAAATCCTTTCGGTGGAAAGCTACATTATTCCGGTGTAATTTGATTAATCTATTGTTATTTTTTAATGATGAAACCCTAAGAAAATAGCAATAATTTGACTCAAGGTGTCAAAAATTTGCTTAAAATTTTTAAAAAGAATCACTCTTAATTTCAAAGGTTTGCCTAAGTAAAATATTTCGCTAAACTTCTATTTCGAGGAAATAACTCAAACGGTTCTCCAAATTAAAGGAGTCCATTTTACAACATTGAAATAAGTTGACGTGCTAACGATAAACGAGTCATATGCATGCATCTCGACATGCTTCTAAATATGAATATATAAATACCTTCCAATCACCATCACGCACGCCACATTACAACAAAGTTTAGAACTCGCAGACATACCATCAAGGCAATCTGAACTATTCAAAAATTATTAACATAAAATTGCCGTAAGTACACTTCTACTTCTGCTTCTTTTTGTAATCACATCGTTTTTACATATTGGTATTTATATCATATACATGTTACTATGTATTAAAATTTTACTACATCCTTAATATTTACACAATTTCTAGTGCGGATATTATCTAAATGGTGCATACCTACATATAAAACAAAACTACCAAGCGTTTCGTAATTTATAGAACTTGAGAACAATAAATTTCTTGCTATTGTTGTCACATATTCATTGTAACAGTATTAATTAGTATACTGTCATATCTAACGTGCTTGCATTATCTATGGCAATTCTCATAAACATTGAACGGAACTCTGGTATATATTATCAGTTCAAACAGTTGATGTCGCAGTTTCGATTTACACTTGTTAAGAAGAAAATTATTTTAAAGTATATTTTAAGATAATTACATTGTTATCATCGTTTTACTAATCATTTACGTATGTAGTCTACCGTCTAATCCACCAACATAAATATGCGATAAATTGACTTTTTGCTCGTAAGTATCTTTTCAACTGTTCATTAATTTTAATTGATAAATCTAATAACAACTCCTTAATAAATAAATGTTGAAACTATGCTTTTCAACATTTATTTATTTTTACTGTAGGTTCTGTATCACTTAAAAATATTTTTAAACGATATCTTTATGGTTCCGTACCCAAAGTACAACGGGACCCTATAACACCCAAGTAAAACGGGACCCTATTGCTAAGGGTCCAGACTCCACTGTTTGTCGGTCTGTCCGTCTGTCCGTCCGTCCGTCCGTCTGTCACCAGGCTGTATCTTGAACTGTGATAGTTGACACATGAAATTTTTACAGATAAAGTATTTTTGTTGTCGCTATAACAACAAATACTAAAAAAATAAAATAAAAAAAAGGGGGCTCCCATACAACAGACTTTGATACTTTTGACTTAGATATTTTTGCCGTTTTTATAGATAATGGTAGGGAACAGATTCGCACTTGGACGATTTTTAATGAAATTATAAGCGAAAATTTTTCGACATTCATTTTAGCTAAGAAAATCCGCACGTACCTTGCGTGTATGCAATTTTGTGTTTTTCTATTTGAATGATGTAGCATTCTAATAGAATCTCTCATTCTCAATATTCTAATATAATATTTTTTCAATCGATTTATATAAGCGATTAAACTCTTCATAGCTTTTTAAAATAACATAATATTTCGTAGTTATACGACCACAAAGATCGTTTCATTATTAGATTATTTAAACACACATTAAATTCGTTTAATGCAAATAATTAATTCGTTTGATGTTTAAATAAGTCTCAAAAAAATGAAAAAATATACAAACTCAAAAGTACAATCGCTTCCCATCTTTATCATCTTATATATATAATTATCGTGTTACAATGTTAGTTACCTTACTCCTCCGTAACGGCTTTACTGATTTTTACCAAATTTTATATGCATATTCAGTAGGTTTGAGAATCGGATACTATCTATTTTTCATACCCCTAAGGGATAAGGGTTGTTCACAATTAACATTTTTTATAATTTTTGGACCAAATTTATTATTTTTATTTTTTTATGATACAGCATACAAAAATACATACAACCCTAAATTTTCACCCCGCTACGCAGACGTAGTCGCGGGCAGCAGCTAGTAATTCCATAGATCTCAGTCAATTGAATTAGTGCGCTATCCCGCTGCTGCACTAAGTATCATATAATATTAACAACCTAATCAATCAATTAGAAGTAAAAGAGAAAATAAAAATAAAACCGTTTAAAAGCTTTTAAGTTAAACGTTTTTATTTTATGTTTTTTTTTGTAAATTTTTTTTTGTTTATATTGTATTGTCATCTAAATTAAATGTGTGTACCAAATTTCAAACCAATCTGACAACGGGAAGGTGCTTAAATTTCAATTTCTAATTTTGACCCAAATAAGTAAACAAATTTCGTACGTGTCGAGTTAAATAAAACCGTTTAATAAGCCTCTATTTTTACATCAATATTTAGTCTCTATGGTCAATCATGAAATGTTATATCACATTAGCTTCTGTAGCATGTTAAAATTTTACATTACCAGCTATTGTGTTGTGTTGTTAATGTCTTGAATTAAAAAATAAGGGATTGCCTGGCTGAAAAAGTTTTTTTTTTATATATAAACAATAAAGGTTTCCGAAAATTTTTACTTAATTATTCAAAATTATGTCATTGGATAGGTTTAAAAATATTTGTTAGTGAAAATCGAAAGTGTCACTGATCTCTTCATGGTCTCCGTCATCATCATTTCAGCCTGTTAGAGTCCACTACTGAGCATAGGCCTCCTCCACAGATTGCCTCGAAGTACTATCATGAGTTGCCTGCATCCGTCGGCTTTCTGAACATTTGCACGGGTAATAGGATTTCGTCCTACACTTAACCTCATAATATAAATAAATAATCGTTCATTCCTCTTGTCCTTATCTTACCCACGTGGGGTCGACACAACATGCGAATCGTATTGTTAATCATGTTGGCTAGGTCTTCTTACTACCGACCGTGTGCCTGACGTCAACCCTCTTTAGAAAATACAGATATATAATATATTAATATATCATTTCAGCGCCTTTTAGGCATTAAATGTATGACGACAACTGAGGCTGCACAACTTACCCAATAACAATAATGATGTTATGTCAAATATGAGGTGACGAGGGACCAGACCTGTTCGAACCTGAGCGATATCACCTTAACATTGTCCAAGTTGAGTATTTTACATGGAAAGGTTTCAATAAAAACCTTTGTGATAAGATAAAGTAACTAAACAATAAAAGAAACTCACTACTGAAATCTGAACCACAGAATATATGGTTTATTAACTTATTTTCATAATTAGGAGGTTGTAAGCCTAAATTATAAATTGAAATTTTTGAAGATAGTGCCTTCGCAGACCCTATAGGTAACCAACATGTTCAATTTTGTTAGTGGTGTAGTTGATGCCGTACCAGGTGTGGGCCACGTAAAAGGAGTTCTCCATTATGCTGTGGGAGATGTAGATGGTGGAAATAAGGCCATGTATCAAGCTACTCGATCGTCCCTTGTTCTGGCTGGCGGTGCAGTAGGAGCTATTGGTGGACCCGCGGGTGCCCTTGCTGGTGCTTCTGGTGCTGGTTTGCTTACCGATACCATATGTTCCGTTGCTACTAAACAACCTCAAGGAGTCGTCGAAGGGCTTAGCGATGTTGCTTCAGATTTTCTAAATGGAAATTTACCTGTTAAATCAGTTATAAAAACTGGACTTTTGGCAGGTTCGGATTGGCATGTGGACTAGGAGCAGGAGGAATATCTGTTGGTATAAAATCAGTTACTAAAACAACAGTCAAAAAAGTTGCAGAAGTATCATCAAAATCATTACTGGTAGCTGGCATGAGCACTCAAGGTATGCTTAGCGCACCGTCTTCAGGCCCTTACACAACGAATTCAGCGGCAAGGAGGTCCAGTTCAAGTTATAGTAGCAAAAGTAGCAAAACAAATAACAATCAGTCTAAAAATGACCAGACAAACAGTACAAACACAAAATCAAAAGGCAATAATAATAAATCATCCAACGATTCCACTGGGTCTGGCTCAGAACGTCCAAATAATAACAGAAATGACAAAAATGATCATTCACCAAACATTGAAAGACCAGAGATAAACTTGCTACGATCAATGTTTAATATGGTGTCATTAGACGAAATCGCACTTGGGAGACACTCGAAACAAATCTTTAAAAACTTGACCCCTGGGCAAATCGAGTCTTTAGTTTCCCTTGTCAAAACATTGCAACGTAATGGTCGTTTCGAAGTAATTATTCGGACTATTGTTTATGTATGTGATAATATTGATCCTGTAGAGGTGACATTTCAGAATTTTTTAAGCATTTCTGAATTTGTCAATGTCTACATTGAGGAACAGATGAAAGATTTTTATAACTGGTCTACAAAAGTAAAAGTGCAAAAAACGTGCTTTACCCCGAAGCAAGAAGTTGATGAAAAATTGTTTGTTCATTGCAGTCAGACAATAATGAAGTTGATCAACTCTTTACGTGAAAAAATTGCAGACTTTCCTTTCACAAAATATTTCAGAGACATTTTCTCTGCATTTTACCATTATTATAAGCATCGTACTGTGCCGAACACTAAAAGAGAAATAGAAATCGATCAATACCTCAAATTAATTGAGTCAATGATGGAAAAAGTGACAAAATATCCGGAATACGATGAACTAATCAGCCGGAATCATCCCAGAAATATCTTGGTATTTGAAAGATTTTACAGCGTTGTTTCAAGAAGAGCAAGAATTGTGTTGAAATGTTATCGAGGTAAAGTAACACTAAGTTCTTGTTTTATTAGAGACGAATACTTTAAAGATGATAAAGATGGAGACGAATTTATCATAAATGATGAAAATAATTGAATATTTTCCAATAATTTAATTTTTGTTTTCTAAACTATACCATATTAATTCTTAGTTTAATATGGAAGTGATAATAGTTTACAAAATATGTATAATTAACATTGTGTGTTCTACTATAAAATAACTGCTCCAAGCATCACGTACTAATAATTTTTATTTTATTTATTTGCAAGAATAAGGTAACATAATGGTTTTAAATCTAATACACATGTTCACTTACTCTGCCTCTTTGATATGCGTCCAATTATTAATTAGTTTTAAACTCCGTTTTGTAATTTAGTTATTAGTTTTAAACTACTTGTAAGATAAATATTTCGTTTAAACAAAGAATATTGCTTAACTCGTATAAATAATTAAAATTTTATTTATTACTAAAACATTAATAAAAATTATAATAACACGATAACTTTTAAGTAATAATATTAATAATTATGTATATTTTTTTTGGAGTTAACGCATATTTTACATTATATACTAATGATTTGTATGTTGTAAGATAAAATATACAAAATATTAAAATAAATGACTTTTTTTATTTTTACTTGTATTGTATGTTTCGTTAGGTACATTTTAAAAAGCAATAAGTGAAATTAGTTCCTATGTCGCGAGAGGTTCCATAAAAATTATATAATTGACACTAAGTACACCCAGAATCGAAACAGCGATATATTTAGCACCCACATTTTTTCTGTGTGACCCATACTACAGCGTGCAATGGGAGTTGACAAGGACAACCCATATCAACTTTAATCAGTCAAATATTTCATATTCTAATTATCATATTCGGTTATGGAAGAATGATATTCAACCATAACCGAAAACTGAGCTGTATTTTATTAGGTGATTGCCTCTATTATGACTCTTGCTTTGTACTTACATTTCCCCTGGTTGTCATATTTTTGGAAAAAAAAATGTTTATATGTTGGGTCGGCATCAATAAAAGGTTTTGGAGAAAATATGACTGTTCACGATGATAGCAAGCGGTGGCAAAATTTCCAAAAGCGGTTACTAACCGGCAACGAAAACAAAACCGCATCATGGCATTTTACCTTACCGATGGCAGTATTGCCCTGAAAACGTTCAACATAGGTTGGTCGAATAGGACACCTATATTACGGTGGCGTGGCCCCTCCAACGACCTCCATAGTGTAAATGTATTTTAATTACTTAATAGACTAAATGAAAAAAAAGTGAACTTATTTTATTGCTAAGACTATTATAATACTACTGTTAAGTCACAAATTTAAAAAGTTCTGCGTTAAAATCTTACATTAATTCAAAATAATTTTTGTCCATTTAGTAAAAGCTTGGATTGTTGTATATTGTCAAAGGCACTTGCAGTTAAGATACAATAATCACGTGCTCCACATATTTTCGAAATAATAAAAAAATATATATTTCGAAGATATATGAGAAATTCACATCCGCAATGGGGCCACGTAGTGGACTATGCCCTGATATCCTCTGTATGGAGGAGGCCAGCCCCAGTGAGACCCCCAAACCCGTGGGTTCTAGCTAGCCCACCGGTTCTGCGTCAGTTGAAGCTTTAATAGTCTCGGGATAGAAAGCAAAAACATCAGTTAATACAAGATACAAGATACAAGCAGTGAGACATGTGAAGACTTTACTTTTATTCAGGCTGTTTCTTGTAAATAAGCAATTATTTCTTTCATCTTTGATATAACGCATTTTAAAAGACAATCAGAAAAATAATAAAGCTATTTCTATATATTTTGTTATTCACCAGTGAATTTGTGCATTCGATGTTAACTACTGACGAGCAATAGATAAAGAAATACATCATCGTGACATCTGAAAACCGTTAGGAATATGTCCAAAATAATGTCGGGTAAGCTGTAGAAGAAAATACTAAAGCGGTTTCAGAAGATTATCACGATACTAGAGAGAAGATACTTCTGCGGTAAGAACATGTTTAAAAAGTAAATTTTCTTCCGGTTAATCTTATTTGTCATTATCCATATCAATAAAATGTGCATGGATCATGGAACACTATACCATAATAAAGATAAACTATTTTAATTGATGACTACGTAAAATCAAGAGTGTAAACATTCCTAAGAAGTCATGAATGTTAGATAAGATTACAAGTCAACAAGCAATTGAACGCATATTGAACCAACGGATTAATATGAAGATTATTAAATTTGACAAGAAAAACGTTCTTTAATATTATTTAATAAGCCGTGATAGCTCAGTGTCCGGGCGCTCGCCTTTAATTCAATATACTCGAGTAACCTGAGTTCGATCCCCGGTGCCGGCACCAATGAAGTTTTTAACTTTAAGTGCTGACTTATCACGTGCTCCGCGGTTTATGTAGAAGGAAAAATTCCGCATTGATCGTGAGGAACCTGCATATTTTCGAAATAACGAAAAAAAATATATTTCGAAGATATGTGAAGTCCGCCAAGCCGCAGTGGGGCCGCGTGTTGGACTATGCCCTGATACCCTCTGTATAGAGGAGGCCTTTGCCCAGCAGTGGCACATGTATAGGCTGTTACTTTTACTTAAAGGGCATTAATACATTTTAGCAATAAAAATACGTAGGTTCAGTAAGTTCTGTCCTGTAATCAGCAAATAAGTCAATCCTTCAGCTTGGTTTCCAAGAGGTTTATATAGAACTCCAAAATTCCGCATTGATGAATGATTAGGTATATGAAGTTTTGAATATCAGCAATATATACATAGGTACATATTATAGGAACGAATATTCAATAATGTATGAATTGTTTTATGAGTATAGTTCTTAATTCCAGGATAGTAATATTCGGATATCTGAGGCGGGAAATTCTACTTTGTTTTAATAAGTGTTTATGTGAAGCATTGCTAATAAAAATATTTCACTAACGAAATACAAAACCGACTTCAAATATCTCGCTCTGTATTCATTTTATAATTAATTTTCAGAAGTTCCTTAAATATCTCCAGAACCCAAGATCCCAATACCAATGAAATTAATATGGGACCACATGGGAAGCACCAGCTTTCAAATAAAAAAAGAATCATCAAAATTTAGCGCATTACCTGGAAGGCTCGAGTTCGAATCTTGGGAGTTCTTTCGAGAATTTATGGACATTGTCCAAACTTTATGTGTTTACGTTTCATCAGCCAAACTCACTTCTTAGGTGATTATTTTCGCCACCAATCGGGCCAAAGATCGACGACCCTGGAAAAACTTAGAGTGCCTTTATGAGTGGCTACGTTTTTCTTTAAAAGAATAAAAATATATTAGACTAAATTCAAGATATTTGAAAATATTAGATACGTTGCCACCTTTTAATGAAGTGCGCCCCGTTTACCTAACTCACAAGACAAAAAGCAGAAATATAACACTTTCACTTCACGACGGTCTTCTGGGAGATCGTGGTACTAACCCGAACGGACATGCCCATTCGTGCAACAGCGAGCACTAATGCAATGCATGGCCCTACCACAGTAAAGTAAGCGATATTTATTTATTGCATATTTTATAAAATATATATGTATATATGTTATTTATTTATTAATAGCAATTGTAACAATTAGAAATATTTTTAACATATCATAAAAATTCTTTAGAAAAATTTATATTTCAAAATCTAATTACTAGGAAATATATAATACTAGCGGACCCGGCAGACGTTCTCCTGTACACACGACTTAAATCCGGCAACTTATAAATAAAAAAAATAAAAAAGTTATAGTCTCCCGAGCTGTTGAGGGACTAATAAAAATATGCTATATCAGAAATTATGTTAAGGAACTAAAGGATTTATGTAATGGCATTGAAAAAAACAATTCACGATGTAATAAAACAATTATATTATTTTGTTTTTTTTTAATACTTCTAAAGAATTTCTTTAACTAAAAACTGATCTCGACAGTTTTAAGATCTTATTAAAGTAAAATACAATTAATGTTACTAAATTGTACCTCACAATACTTAGTTAAAATTACTATTTCCTCTCCAAACTCTGTATCATAATGGTTGAACCATTATGGTACAGAGCCTGTTTTCGGAAATTTGAATTAATTACGGTGATTAGAAAGCTTTTATATTTGTTTTTAAAAACTCTCGGTACGGTGTCTAATTCGCAACATATTGGTCTTGAAGCCTCATAAGCAGTCCAGTCAGATAATATTCCCAGTCAGATAATAGCTACCGATCGAGCCGAGGTCCGGCCCTCGAATCGGAATGCTAAACGTGTGTTGAGTGACAGCCCAAGCCGAGGTCCTCTCTCGGGGACCCTTGAGCCTGATCACTCCATGCAGCGCCCGCCAAAGCGTCCTAAGAGCTTGGCGGCCTCCCAAACCGGTTAAAATAATAGCGTGACGGCCCGAGCCGAGGCTCCCTCGGGAACCCTCGAGCTTAGTCACCATAACGCGTAATAATAATACGCCGAGGTTCAGGCTAGGCGCCCCATGCGCCAGGCCACCTCGGAACTGTGAAGGCCCCTAAGGCCAACAGTGGCTCATCCAGCCCAAAAAAAACATCGTGGGCATTAAGTTTAGGGTGGCCCCTGTAGTGCAGTGGAATATGAACGCTTAATACTGATGCCGAGTCAATGGATACCTGGATTTGAATTCGGAATGTGTTAATTACTCTGAACGTTTATCTTCTTGCTCAGTCTCTCAATTCTGAGAATCGTGACCATATCTCGTTCTCTTCCACTGCTCGCGGTCGAGGACGGTGTGAACTGCGCGTTGCTCGCTGCCGCCCACCGCGTTCTTCACCGTGTCAGCCCATCTTATTGGTGCTCTGCCTAGAACACGTCTGCCGTTCATCCGGCCTTCAATGACCTGCTTCTCGAAACTGTGCCTTGGCGATCGCATAATGTGTCCTGAAACCGGCCAAGTGCAAGGCGGACTCGAGCACGAAGGGTTCTGTACCGTTATCTAAAAAAATGATTTAAAAAATCATGTCTGTTGTATGGGAGCCCAACTTAAATATTTTTTAATCTGTTTTTGTGTATTTGTTTTTATAGTGGCAAAAGAAATACATCGTCTGTGAAAATTTCAACTGTCTAACTATCACGGTTCATGAGATACAGTCTGGTGACAGACGAACAAACAGCGGAGTCTAGTAATACGGTCCCCTTTTTGTACGGAACCCTAAAAAAGCAGAGAGTCCGTTCACGACAATTTGAAGAATTCCACGTTTTTTAGTTAAATAAAAAATATTTTACGGGCTTTATAGCGTTTTATTTTGTTTTTAAATTCCTGGCATTTGAAAAACTTCAAAAGTGCGTAAATACATTTATAAGAATGCCTTACATTTCCCCTTTTACTTTTATTAAAAGAGATGCAATAAATTATTTAACAGACAACCGCTCCTTTAAGAGTCCAACATTCTAGTGTCCAGTTTGAATTTTAAATTCAGAAAGTAAACAATATTAAAATCAAGAATTATGGTGCTGAAAAATATTTTACAACGCGATATCAGTACAACAACAAAGATGGTTAGTAAGCTAAAAAAACTAGTCAAAATTTAGTTATTTAATTTTTTCTTCTTTTCATTGCTCATTAAAAGTTCAGGTCTTCTCTGATATGGTCAATCGACGCATACAGCGTAATCGTTATTCAAATAGTTATTTCTATGGGACATGTGTTTCGTTACGCAGTCAATTATCTGTATGGGTCATTTTTCTTATAACTATATAAATGGTAAATCCTAAGTCTTAACACCATCTTTCTCAGTTAGCGACCCGGCTAAACGTTTTTTTTTTTTTTTCGAATCAAAATCAAATATTTTTAATTAACATAAGATTATTAAACTCGCTTATTGATAGTCAAAATACTACCACCGGTTCGGAAAAGTAAGCCACTGTACTGAGAAGAACCGGCGATAAAAAACTCAGCGGCAACATGAATATATTATCCACACAATATAATAACTCTGATTGAAAGAGCTTGGAGCGATCAATTCATTACCAGAGTGTGTTATCATTTAAATGATCATTAATATTATAATAGCATTTAACGCACAAACGTTCTTTTACTACTTTTTTAAATTTGCTCGGATGCATTTTGAACGTTTTCTGGGATTTTGTTGTTTGTTCCAGAGAGCTCGAGGGATCTATGACAATAACCACCTGACTAGACCAACACAGAGGCATACATATGTCCACGTGGTTTCATAGCATTCAGATAAAGTAAATATTTACTTTTAAATTTTGCCAAGTGCGGCACAGACGTTCACGGCTGAATAACATCAAAGTGTAAACATATTTGAGATAAATTGAAGCACTTTTGCTTCGCTAATGTTTTCGTTGGTTACGAGTTTTCATTCGTGAAAGTAAAATACCTAGTCTACATTTTCAGAAAGTTTTATTCTTTCTTTTTTCTGTACACTACCATAAATTAATATCGTTAATAGTAATGATATTTTGGCTTTAGCTGTGGCAAGCCCACGCAACAGATACTGCTTCCTACTACCTACACAATACCTATAGTTATGTTATGTTAACTAACATACCTATAAAACTTAATAACGAAGCCACCAATAGTTTTGCGGTTCTCATTCATTTTTAGACACATCACGTGAAAAGCACGTGGGTCTATCGCTGAATACTGAAACAAAGTTTCACGCACACTCAATGTTCAGCATGTATAACGATACGTTAACTTCAAGCTCTGTTATAAGCAATTAACGGTCTATACGTAACGGTCGAAAGACACCAGAGCTTTGAGAATTTCAACTTGTATTTAACGAGGTATCCTACACTATGGGACTTTCTACATCTATTTGGAGGTACACAGAATATTAACAACATAAGCAATCCATTAAAATAAAGTAATAAGATACAATACTTTTATTTGTAATTATAAACAAAATTTAAGTACAACTCAATATGTGTAAATATAAACAAAGTTAGAATTTGTAGTGCTCGAAAACATTAAGATATAAGTTAAATATCAATTTCCAAATAAGTGCTAAAACATAACAATATTCTTTCAACACGTTTCAATGTAAAATTATTAAGCTCATAATATTATTATGATAAATATTTAAAATGTTGTGTTAGTTAGAAATGTAATTTTTTTTTTAAATTATGTTATATTTGATACATTTATAAAATTCATCAGAAGATTTTTAAATATATATCATATAAAAACATGAATTCAATCTCATTGCTGCAATACAATTACTTCTTCTTCGTGTTAATGACCTTCTCACAAATTACAGAAGCTACAGGTTCCAAACCTGACGCAGTTGTAATTACGGAGACGACTTTTTCTAAACTGTTTCCTCCATTGTCACCACCAGAAGCACTTTCCACAACAGCTTTAACAATAGCCGCCCCGGGATTTACAACACTAGCAAGAAAATCCATGTTTGAGCCTTCCGATATTTGTTCCCGATTACTGCTGATGAAAATCTGTAAATAAATGATTTACGTGTTTGATTTACTTTTTTGAAATAAAAACTTCTATAGGCACGTTGGGCTATTTTGGATGGGGAATTATTTATAGGTTCGCGTCACCGACGCACGTCGGTGACATTTGTATTAATGTCACGTAATTTTCTAATATGTATTTGATCTCTGTAAAACAAATTTCTAGTTGTATAGTATTTCTCTCGCCCATTTTAAAATTAAAATACTATAATAATATTTTAGAAAATATTTTATTAGTTAAAACTATTGTTTATTGGTTTAATTTATTAGAAATAAAATAGACCTTTTGTAGTTTAAATTAGTCTCATGTCAGTTTTAAGTTTTCACTTCTGTCGGCAGACCCTACGACTGCTCTTTTTTTATTTAAGTATCGATAAATTTATTTTACTCATACTCTACATAACGAGAGGAAAGCTTACAAAGTTTGGCAAAAGTGCTTTCTGAGTCACAAAAGGAGAAAAATACAGGGGCATTGACAAATAATTGATATTCTTAAGCTCGAGATTAGTGTTTAATTGACTACATGACCATTATGAAAAAATAAGTGCACTATCGGTGATTGCAAATACTCACGAATCCTATTACGAACCCTCACAACACCAGCAAAGTGTCTTGTATACTAATAGAGAAATCAGTACAGTGCCCCTTTTATACATTGAGCTTATGACGCGCTCATTACATTGTATACTATAAATGTGTTTAGAGTTCTTAGTATTTCCTGGAAACAAAATAAACTTTTGCATAAACTGACAGCATGCACACGAAGAGGGATGCTTGTGTTTATCAAATTAAATATGCATGGAAAATTCGATTTACGAGGCACTCCCGTAATGCGTGTTACTCTTGAATAGATTTTACGTAGGGCTTCGTCAAGTGTTTTTTTATTGTAAGAAGATAGCAAGCAAGCGGGCGGTTCACCTGATGTTAAGGGATAACCGCCGCCCATGGACATTTGCAACATCCGTGGGATTACAAACCACCTTTAAATATTGTGGGCCACGTCTACCTCACTCACCAGACGAAACGCAGAAGTATAACACCGGTTCCACTTCACGCCGGTGTTCTGTGAGGTCGCGGTACTTCCCATGACGGACTTTCCCATTCATGCAACAGCATAAACTGCTGCGTGGCCCTACCGCAGTAAAGGTGGATTTGCCACGGGTTGCGTCCATTACATCTTCCAGTTTCCAAATTTCCTAAAAATCTGGACCACGTGGAGGGAACAACCACGGAAAAAAACTTGCTAATTGTTATATTTTCTATATATATATATATATATATATATATATATATATATGCTGTTTATGATATATGTAATTCGTAAGGTCAAAATCGTTTAATTACCATGCTATCTTTAAAGCTTATACGTTAATCATTTAAATAAAACGAAAAAGATTTACCACGTTTCGGACAAAAAAGAACTTACTTTTTTTCTTATTAACTGATTTTCTGATTTATGGGCATTTTACAACTAATAATACGCAGACAAACTATCCGACAAAAAATAATTATTTAAAAAACATAAACTCATAATTACGTATCCAGTGAATGAAGAAACGAACAATTTAGTACTATCTAAGCGACGTCAAAGATCTCCGATGATTTTAGTTTATTAAACGGTTTGATTTAGCTCGACCCGTACGGAATTTATTTGGGTCAAAATTAGAAATTGAAATTTAAGCACCTTCCCGTTGTCAGATTGATCTGAAATTTGGTACACACCTTTAATTTAGATGACAATACAATATTGTAGTTTTCAGTACACATAAAATAAAACCGTTTAACTTAATAGTTTTTAAACGGTTTTATTTCAATCATAAGGAACACGAGAAGATGCACATTTAATATACAGGGAGGTTTTTCTAAGTGTATCCATTTTTTTTTAATTATATTCTAGACATAAATACTGTTATATAAAATATGATAAATATTTAAAATCACTCGTAATTAATTAATTACATTCATTTGAACTTATCTCAAAATGTGCGCGATTTATGGGCAACTCATATCTTTTACGTGCGATCAATCATAACTAACACGCACGCAAGTTTATTTCAAAAGTATACGACGCATTTATGAATGACTACCACGTTGTCAACAAGTTCTATTTTTTTAGAGAATATAATGGTAATTTTTTTGAAAAAATACAAGTTTGTTTTTATTTTAATAAACAATTATACTACCGAACTGAACCTCCTATGTAAATTTGGGCACCTTTAAAAAAGCCTACCTGTATATTTTTAGGAATAGAAACGATAATTGATTTTTTTTAAACAATTTATTGGCCAATGGGCCAAATTACATAGAAGTTTAACTATAAAGCTACTACCCGCTTATCTTCCAACAATATTTTTTTATGGAATAAAGATTAAAACTAGCCGGAGGCTCACCTGATGGTAAGTGATCACCGCCGCCCACGAATATCTGAGGCAATATCGGAGGGCTTAATTTGTAGGCCGTTGCCGGCCTTTTAGGAAAGAATATGCTATTCTTGAAGGATCCGAGATTGCAACGGTTCGGAAAGATCGCCGGTGGCAGCTGGTTCCACAGAGTGGTTATCCGAGGCAGGAAATGCGTGGAAACTGTTGCGCTGTTGTAGAACGTTGGACATCGGGGTGGTGTGGATGAAATTTTTGGTTTCGGCGCGATGTCCGAAACTGCAATTAAGCCGCCGGGATCAATCCAAACAATTCTTGGAACACTCCCCTTGATATATGTGGTACAAGATGAAGAGTGATGAAACATCTCAACAGAGCCGAAGGATCAACCTCATCGGGAACCCCGATCGTCGATAACCCGAGCCGCCCTACATGTTAATATTTCCCTTTTTCCGTTAGGCACGCATACAGTATTAAGGCTCGTCTAATTTTTTTCACAAAAGTCTGCTTCTAATAAAGAAACAGTAATTCAAATTAAAAGGCAAAGATTAAACAAGATGAACAGATAGCATAAGATAGATGATTTCTGCCTTAATGCCATCGTTTACAATCGTAAAGCAACTATTATGTAGATATTAAGTGTTATATGGTTCACTTCTGTTTAGAAATACAAATTTTTGATGAAATTGGATGCGAACCGCTCAGGCAAGGTATTAACTGGTGTCGCCTAGATTGCATTGCAAAAAGGAAGCCTTGTTTCTTCATGATGAAATTGGTAGGTACTCTCTAAACATTAACAACGAAATATGTACGAAAGGCTAACATAAAATATATAATAAAAAATAAAGGATAAAACTAACATAAAGAATAAAAATACAAAAGAATTGTTTGAAAAATTTATTACAAAATAATAAATTGAAGTGAATTTACCCGATGTAAAGGACATATTAAAAAAACTATAATTGTTTGAAATATTACAGTGTACAGTACATTAATCGACAAACTGACCTTAATCCTTCTAGCTTAAAATATGACACGCAACTAATACGACAGCAGACGATGGAGATAAATCCTTGAATTATAATTCGTATTTACAGTCTGCGAAAAATAATCTTTTCGTTCTAATGCAGTTGTAAGACAATTAAGTTAAACAAATCCATCATATTAAGAACAGTAATGATGAATTTTTCAAATAAATAATTCATCATTTAAAAGAAATAATTACTTCGTTATACCATTGAAGCTGAAAAGGCTGAGGCCATTTTAATATAAAACTCCTGTATGAACAATTTAATTATATATTATTCTCGAAGCAAATATCAGACATATATAATATATTAATGTTTAGACTATTAAATACTATAATTTAAAAATCCATATATATCCAAAGCTGACAATACAACAAATTACTGCAAATATTTTTGTTTACAAATTCGTCGTCACTTAGAATTTTTTATCTGTTGCCTCTTAAAATGTATGTTATTGCCCTTAATTTGTAATCTCGGCGGCTGGCGTGACTTTAAATGATTTTGTGATTATTGGAGTATCTGTAATACAAAAATCTGTGTAAATAATCTTGAATAGAAACGAGTATCCAAAATCTGTTATGGCTGTTTGTTGCACGAATTATCATCATCGTCATCATTTCAGCCTGTTTATCTCCGCCGCTAAAAATAGGCCTCCCCCACAGACAGTCACGAAGATCGATTTTAACCAACCAACTTGTACCCTCTGACTTCCTCCCGCAATCGTCGATTGTCGATCGAATGGGGGGTCGTCCTAAGAATTATATTAAATTCTTTTAAATATTTTTCGTGTATGTACGACCTCAAATGTCTGCAATATCAAACTGTTATAAAAAGCTCACATTTGCAAGATTATTTTCAGTAGTCGAGACCGAACTAATTGGTTGAGTGTTAGCACTACATGTAATACATATAATAGTATTGTCTAGCGCGATCACCGGGATTACTATCTATTTATATTAATACTACAAGTAAACGGATAGTATGTTTCATTAGAAGAGAAGAGAAATATTATACGTCAACAATATACACAGTTTCTTACTCAAGCAATCCCAACCATTGTAACAATTACTGCTCTGGCGCGTAATTGACTATGCCGGTCGTACGAGTCCTAATAGAATTATTTTTCCAACCGATTTCAAAAAAGGAGGAGGTTCTCAAATCAATATGTTTTTTTTATCTGTTACCCCAGAACTATGTAGGTCATTATGAACCTGTTTTGGAAATTAACTTTGTATTGGGCTCGGTTTAGCTTCCTAGGTCCTATATTATTTTCAATGGTATTGGACTCTGGAGATATTTGGTGCCAGTTATGTTTTTGTTAGTAAAAACGGCCAAGTGCGAGTCGGACTCGCGCACGAAGGGCTCCGTACCGTTCTATAAAACCAGCAAAAAAAATCATGCCCGTTGTATGGGCTACTTAAATATTTTTTATTCTGTTTTTTAGTATTTGTTGTTATAGCGGCAAGAGAGAAATATATCATTTATGAAAATTTTAATAGTCTTACTAACACGGTTCATGAGATACAGCCTGGTGACAGACGGACAGACAGACAGACATACAGCGGAGCTTTAGTAATAGGGTCCCGTTTTATTTGGGTACGGAATCCTAAAAATCTGCTTGTTCGTATTATTCACATCGCGAGAAGCCGCCGAAGCGGTCCAAATCCGACAACACTCGTGCTTACTGTGCCGTTTTATAGATTGCATGAACTTAATAATTAAATAGTATTAAATTCGGAAGAAGATATGTTTTTGTATCAACGCCTTACACATGTATAATCGCACTTAGTTTTTATTATGATTAAATTAAAATTTATCAAATCATCGTTTTTGATAATTCAGTGTTTTCTTACCATCGTCGTTCTCCCAAGTAGTTTCAGTAATTTCTTCAACGATAGTACCATTAGCATGAATAATGGTTTTCGTATCTTTTTCAACTCTAGGATGCGACTGTATATTAAAAATATACAGAAAACTGTTGGCACCATCATCTAGTAGCTTACTCCAGAAATTCGTATCGTTCGTTGTAATCCATGCTATAGGCTGGACCAAGGAGTCTAGAAAAAATGCAGGAGGTTTTATTATGTATTCGATAACAATAATATTAAAATGACTTCAAATCTATGTTTACTCACTTGTATGATAATCACCGGATTGAAAATCATCCGTTGTTTTGATTGTAGTGGCTTTGATTTCATTTGCCTGTTCTGAATGTTGTGTGTTGATAGCGTTTGATTTTCTCGCATTTAGCATTTGTGCTGAATTATCAGAAATAGAAGAACCTCTCTCAATTTTGGTATCATTAACTTCAATTTTTTGGTCAATTTTTACCGGATTTTGTAAAAACCTTGAAATATTTGATTCAGTAAAATTGGACTTCTTTTCAGAAGCTATCACAGTTTCATTTTGGCCCATACTTAAAATAGATGAAACTTTTACATCCATTATATTATTTTGCTTTATGCCAGTGTTCATTTTAAGGTCCACTGTGTGATTTAAATTGTTGAGTCCAACGGCATCTTCTTTTTTAATAGTATTGATAAGACCTGTCATTCCAATTACTTTATTTATTAATTGTTTATTTTTTTCATTTTCAGTTACCTTCGAAGGCGTTACATATTCATTTTTTAATACTGCAGCTTTTACCGCTGTTTTTATTGTTGTTTCCCTTATTTCAAATTTAGTAGGAATATACGTAGTTGCAGGAAATGGTATTCGTTTGTCATTATTAATATTATATGTCACTTTACCATTATTTTGTAAGACTGGTATTTGAAAGTTATTTAAGGGGTACTTTAATTGCCCTTGAAATAAATTATTATGGTGTTGATTTAAGGGTATATGCACATTCGTAGCAGGTCCCCCAACAAGGGGAGCATTGATATTTTGTGGGTCTTGATTTTGTTTATTTATAGCAGGATTTTGATATTGTGAAAATGGACGTATGTTTAGTGGTAGTTTGATATGTGGGTATGTTCTTAAAATTGCTTCTAAGTCGTCGTAATATTCGATTGCTCCATTTTTATGGACAAGGGTATATCGTTTATTCGTAACTGGCTGCTGTATAGGAATGTTTTTATCCGGACTCTGTGTTCCTTCATTATTTCCTGAAATATAAAAAATCTATTAGAACCGTATAGTTCAAATTGTTTATTTAGTATACAAACTTTTTATTTAACTTACCTAAACGTGACATATTATTATTGTTATATGATGTCGACAAAAAGCTTCTTGTTTGATAATGTTGCGTCCTAGGGTCATTTGCATTATCATTTATAACACTGATTTTTTTTAATAAGGGTGAAGACTGCTGTGCTGTGGTATCGACATAATTTTGATAAGGTCTAAAATTGATATTCCTCAATGGCTTACGGAGCTGTACGTTGAGACGTGGGTTTTCGTTAGCTTGTAGCACTGGAACTGGAATAACTGGTTTCTCCGTGTTTAATTGTGGTAAATACTTATTACTTTGTTTAATTTCAGTACGTTCGTTTATACCATTCGTAAGAAATCCATTGGGCGGCAAATTTGAAGGTTGCAATATCGAGTAAGGATTTATCTGATTCCCTCCTCGGGTTGATAACGGTCCACTCCGATATGCATTTATAGGTTGATAATTGTTTACAGGTATATTAATTTCAAATAATTGCTTTTCCTTTGAATTAGGTGGGAAATTGATCTGTTGCGTCGGACCTTTCATGTTGTTATTAATAGAATCTCCAATGAAATGTGCTTGATGTATTCGTCGTTCATTAAAGACAGTTTGAACAGCATTGATATCGCAAACTGGAAAAGACAACTTAGAGTAGGTATATTAAAGTTATTCCTTGTCATTCGTAATGTGTTTAAACAACATAAACTTTATATTCTTTTCACAAATTCCTGCTTTTATACTATTCAAGTTTTTCGATGCTTGACACAATAAATTCAACATTTTATAATATAGTTCTACAATTATTATTATTTATAGAATTAAGGAAATGTACTAATCGAACAAAACTAATTTTTAAAATGTATCGGTAATGTACTCACATACAAACTTGGAGAAAGACAATAAGAAGTTTAATACAATAATAATTTTATTCACCATCTTTGAACACGTCTATTTTGTAATGACACGGTTAGCACTGTAAGTATCGAAAAACCTATATTGCACTCGTTATACGAAACCTTTCGTCACAAAGAACAAAGTTTCGTCACATAAAGCTGAGCAAACAGACAAAATGTACTTTAAAAGACTTCATTAATTCGTGTTTGTATATTTACTTCTAAAAGTGCGTCAGCTATAAAGAAAGTTAATGATTGGGCCATCGTTCAATTTACCATAATGAAAAATGTATATTACGGTTTACCTAAACAGGGATTTATTACAAGAGATGATTTCTATTTAAATAAATAATAAACATTTTAGGACATTTTACACAACATTCTCTAGTCCCAAACTAAGCAAAGCTTGTACTATGGGTACTAGAAAACTGATAAACATACTTAAACACACTTTTCTTTTTGTAAATAAATACATATTATACATATATTAACACCCAGACACTAGAAAAATACTATGTTCATCACACAATATTTATGCAGTAGTGGGGATCGAACCCACACCCTCTGGCGCAGGAGGCAGGTACACTATCCACAACGCCATTCGGGGCGTCAATTTAAACAATATAAAAATAATTGGTGAAATGAATTTTTTTCCGGATTTTATCGCGTTTTAATGGAATGGGATTGGGGTCTTTGCATCTCTTAAAGAAATTCAACGATTTTGGATGTTTTGCACGCTTTGTCTTGATATTTTACAGCCGTCGCATTTTGTTTTTTTTTTAGTCTGAGATTAGGACGTGAAACAACTCTGTCTGCCACGTGACCATGAACACTGGAAAGAATTCGACACGTCACGAATTTAATATCTAATTAAAACGCAATAAAATCCGTAAAATAGTTCCATTTAACCATGTATGGTATACGCGAAAAAATGAAAAATTAGTATAAAGAAATATTTATTAGTAGTGTATTACTAATGTGATTATTTTTAAGCTGTTGAGTAATTATTGCAAGCTTCTGACCAATTGTGTTTGTTTCGTAGCTTTCCAGGATCTTCATATCATATTACAAAATCATTTTGTGGTGCTAATCAGAAAACTTAACTTAATTTTTGTTTTAATTTCTCTAATTAATACGTAAATCTCTAGGATTAATTAGAGCTGCCGTAATTTTTCCGATGTCCTTGGAATTTTAAACTCTCTGTAGTTAGTGTCAAAGTATTAACCACTTAACCACACTGACCTTTTTAGACTTCAAGTTGAGGTCATCATTTTCTCTCTTTGCATTTCTCTCTTTTCTCATCATTGGATTCATCAGTTGGGCAGTTTATCAGATGGGTCTAACAGGGTCCATGATGATTATTTACTTAAACTAAGCTACAATTTCCAATGCGAATAAAGAATAAGAATAAGACGTCTTCGAAACCAGTAAATTACATTCCATGACACTCCTTCCGCTAGTTGGCCATTTGCATTTACGACAAATAAAGTACCGCCCAATCAGCGAAAACAAAATGGTGACAAAAGTTTACGTTTATAACTTACCCCGTGTAAACAAGGAATTCCATACTGACTCCAAAACGCTAATAATATTATAATGTTGACAGGAAACATTCGATAATCGATAAAATGTACATTTTATCGATTATCGAATGTTTATTTTATATATAATATTTTGATATAATTGTATACATTATAATTTTGAAAGTTATATTTAAACTAAAGAAATATTTGAATTTTATGTACATTAATGAGCTAAGGACTAGAAAAGGTTTTTTCGTATCATATACTTACCCTAAACTAATATGCTAACGCCACCTAGGGAAATATTTAAAAATAACACACCGTTTCGCAGCTTCTTCACTCTACGACATACTTCTTAGTTTGCCATTTAATAGTAAGATGACGCCACTAAATTTTCGCTTAAGTTTATTTACCCATCACTTTTTTGGTTACATATAAATAATCTTAATAATAATTGAATGAAACTTTGTTTACGGATTTATCGCGTTTATTTTTTTTTTAATTCCCGACGTTTCGAACCCCTTACAGCGTTCATGAACCTTTCTCACCATGGTCGGAAGTAGTCCGCGGGTAAGCGACCGGCCACAGAAAAACTACGAAGGCTAGGCCTCAAAAGTGTCCAGCTGTAGGCAGAAAATGACAGATCCAAATCCCTCAAGAATATAAATGATTATTTACCTTGTTGAGTTGTATTTTAGCAACTAGTAACCATTACAACTATTAATTCACCACCACTGACCACCTCCTACACTATAACATTCAACGGAAACTTTTTATACACAGAGATTGTTTTCTTTAACTCCAAGGCTCTTTCCTCCATGGGGAAAACAACGCGCATAACGAAGAAACAACGACACCGTCCACTCCCCTATATATCGGTTAACGAAAGATGAACAATTCGAAACAAGTTTTTGCGTAAACGTTCCACCCACCTATTTTCAAAATTAAAATCTAACTTTACAGGACAGAATCAGAGACGGTTGTTTAGAATACAACATATTGATGACGTAAATATAATTACGAAATATAGAGAACTTTCCGCTTATTTATTGTTTGCCCAGTATGCCACGTACACTAGTAGCCTTGTGTACTGCCATCATTAAAACAGTAGTAGGACAAAGTTTTTATAAAGTATTGTAACCGGTTAATTATAGATGCGCACGTCATGTATACTCCGTAAAAGAATTCGAGCTGTAACTTGCTGTCTTTTAATGATTCAATGTTACGCTTTTCAATGAAATATAACAAATTATACATTTCAACAAACGTATTTATGAAAGCATAAACAGATTTACTTAGCGCGTTGCAGCCGCAGAAGAAATGTTTCTAGGAATATATTTTGGAATAAAACAATCATATTTTAGTTACATATGCTAGAACAGCACACGCGCCGCCTACATCTTGATAATGTTACTAAGAATTATCAATAACTTACTAAAATTACGACTAATTTTACTACTAAAGTAACAACCTATACATGTCTCACTGCTGGGTAAAGGCCTCCTCTGTACAGAGGGTATCAGAGCATAGTCTACCATGCGGCCCCTCTGTGGATTGGCGGACTTCACATATTTTCGAAATATTTTTTTTGTTATTATTTCGAAAATATGCAGGTTTCCTAACGATGTTTTTCTTTACCGCTGAGCACGTGACAAGTCAGCACTTGAAATTAAAAATTACTTTGGTGCTGGCACCTGTATCGAACTCAGGTTGCTCCAGTATATTGAATTAAAGGCGAGCACCTGGACACTGAGCTATCACGGCTCAATAAATTTTATGAGTGAATGAGTGAATGAGCGAATATTTATTTAGTTTCAACAACAAACACAGTTGTGTTAACACTGTACTGTTTACTACTTGTTTATTTTATTTTACCAATAATATTTACGCAAGTACAAGCAATTAGTTGATAAAGGTTTATTACATCGCATAAAAGCGCAGGCGCTAGCCCATAAAATTGTAACAAATAAAAATAAACGTACATTTTTCTATATTAGATATCACGTGTCACAAGAACCAGAACGAACTCAAGAATTTTTACGAAATAGTAAATACAAATTATCGCCCTTCTGTTGAGATTCGACCGCAAGTCATTTTAATGAATTATAATTATTCACGGACTCATTGATTCAATCTATCATTTTAAATCCTTTAGCGACCATATTCAATATTCTATACAAATGTTTGACTATAGACTATAAATTTAAAACGTAGATAAAATTTTCGACAAACTTTTAGCTGTTGCAATTATTATTCAATCCTGTGCCTTTCAGATTCCCCATTACCCGTCCACACGTTAAATTAATGTTAACACCCCTTCGAAGTAATTCTAAAAATCTACACGTATGAAGATTTACATTAAGTGCAGGCACTAGCACTAAAGTAAAAAAGTGACCATTCATTGTTTTACTTTATCTCTGTATTTGTAACATTTATTGTGTAATTTAAGCTTCCTCGATTTCTTCCCCAACTTTGACAATCCCTTATTGCGCACACGGAGTGCGCTATGTTCTTAAAAAGGAGTCCAAAGTTTTCGCTACACCTATTAATATACAGAAAATATTCGTAGGATATCACCAAACGTTCTTAATTTTTATTTTACAAAGTCATGGAATTAATGATTTTTTTTTTAAATATCTTTATTTTTCGCACCAAAAAAGTTCTGTTCTGTCTCTTGAGCTATTTTGGGGCACACAAATTTTGTCCCATGAGAGGATTGAACTCACAAAACATCACTCCAGCTTTTAAACGAGCAATTTTTGTATGTATATAATCGGAATCTCGGAAACGGCTCCAGCGATTTTCATGAAATTTAGTATGTGCGTAGACTCGGGGGCGACAAATCGATCTGGCTAGGTTTCATTTTTAGAAAATGTCGTTTTATTTTTTTAGGGAATGTAAAATATCATTAGAATACGCCGGTAAATTTCACCGAAAAAAAATGTTATAATAGCTCGGTCGGTAATCGGGCGGCCCCGAAACTAAAGGCCGTGTTTCGTGTCACGATCATATACACATTTATTTTTTTACTTTTTTTTTCGATTCCAGATCATTACTTTCTTTATTTTTTATGTTTTGTCGGTCCAGAAAAGTTCTTTCCTTTGTGAAAAACACCAGTTCATATTTTCTTATTATTACGTCGGTAAGATCGAAAAATATTATGCATATTTCATTACTCAGTAATTTGTATCTATATGTAATTACCAAAATACACGATTTACGAAAAAAAAAAAACAAACCGAGCTCGGTCCTCCAGGTACTTACGATTAAATGTGGTTTTACAGCGTTTTACGATTCGATGCTTATAACAAAACACCATGCAAAAAGGATTTATATTTTTCGCGTGAAAAAATATTTATTTATTTAAATCGATTCATCGTCGCTGAACATTATTATTTTATAAAAACCACAATTGTGAGAATTACATATATTGCGTTACTCTCAGAATTTTTGTACCAAAAAATAATGAAAATGATTATGATGACTTCAAGAAATGCTCTCAATTTAATGGAAATCGAAGCGACAAGTTTAGTCACCGAAAGCAATTAACAGCCAGAATTTTAATATTTTTTAAAACATTACCCTTACTTTGGGATAACACTATCCTGTGTTGCAAGGACGTTCGTGTGGACAAACACCCAGATGTGAAACATCTGTGTGTTTGTCAGCGAACATGGGTCGCACAAATAGTTGTCTCGTGTAGGAATCGAACCCACGACCCCCGACGCCAAAGCCAATACCTTATGTACAAATACACTGTTTTGTACTCGGAACTGGTATACAAGGTGTATAAATCTTTCTATACACTTTAAAGTAATGTATTACTATATTAGATAAAATGTTGATAACGTTAGCTAACTCACTCTGTTCCATTAAGTTCAAAAGAAGTAAGAGACGGTTCTGTCACCTTTGTAATAATTATATTGATAGAATCGGAAAAACACGTACACTAGAAGTATAGTGTAAGTATTATGCAACATGAGGAAGCTTCCACACCGAATAAGATTAGCAAACGGGACTTCCAAATATCCGAAGCCTACGTCACTATTCGAACAGTTCTTGACGCCCCTTTTAATCGTTTGAGTCTTGATTTCCGTTTATTTTCTCTATGTACGTTATGCGGACTGAGGGATTCCCTACGTCGGCTGAGAGCGTGCACTTAAATACGTGTTAGCGTTGATTTCTCCCAATCTGCTACGCTGTATTCAGTCAGCCAGTAACGACCGCTGCGTTGCCTGCCTATAAAACTGCTGTGTGACCTTTATTTAAGAGCAGACTCCATAAGTGGCCAATCATTGTATCACTATTTACTTTATTATTCGTGATTTTAACTTTACGTCATACTTTACGTCACGACAGAATGCGGAAGATTATTCTATTCGTCATCCTTGTTACATCATACGAGGCATACGCAGGTAACTCAATAATCTATTATAAAAATATTTAACTTGTTAATTGTATTTTTAGTACTTTGAAGTGAAGTGCCCAGTGATTTAATGAGAGTATTTGTTGTAAAAACCCTTTTAAAGTCAGTGGACATGATTATATCGAAAACTCGTTTTAAACGATTTAAAAAAGGAGGTGGTTTACACTTAGTTTTTTTATTAATCGGTATTGGACTTTGAATTCTAGAGATACATCAGGGGACTCCTCAAAATCAAATATAAAAAAAAAATGAGTGCTATATTTAAAGTCGGTATTGTTTTTTGTTAATAAAATTGTACGTATATGATCATTTTTTTTGTTATAAGATTCGATGCTTCGGATGCTCCTAACGCCTATAAAGTTACAAAAATGGTTATTAAAAAATTATTCTGAAGGTGACGTGGAATGCGGCCATGGGGAAGTGCTCGATAATTGCCCCTCAAATTGCACTGACGCCTGCCCAACTATGGATGGAGAATTGCAGAGCTGCAAGCGAGCCAACCGCCACAACTGCCCACCACCGAAATGCTTATGCCAATTCAACCATCGTCGGGCTACGAACGGCACCTGCATACCAACAAGCGAATGCCGTGAGTATAAATCTTAAGGCTTCTACACACTAGCCGCACAAACGAGCCTGTCATAACCCAGCTCAGTTTTTGTAGCATAGTGTGTAGCAACATTAATAAACATCACAAACGTGTTTTTGTTATCTCTTAATGCGGACAACATTACTCACGTGGGATATTTTTCATTCTGTACATATCTGTTTATTTATTTTGGGAATGGATTATGCGAACGAGTTAGAGTTGTTAATCAATAAATACAATTTATTGATACAGTCTCAATTGTCGAGTTTATTAATGAAATTGTTTGGCGGAAACTTCGAGGGATACAGATTATTACACATCGATGGAGCTAAAGAAGTTCTACTTCAGTCGTGTTGTCTAAAGCATGCTAGTTTTTATTATAAGCACCTACGTGCTAGTAGTGAGTCTACTTGTTATACATTTAGTAGATAAAATACATTGTTAATATAATAAACAACGCAGACGGAGTCGCGGGTGCCAGCACTACCTGTATAACTATACTAAATGAAACTATTTATCTGTCTTCATGGTCAAGATACAGTCTGTCTCTATGCTATGCAAAGTGCACAAACGTCGGGAATTAAAATAAAAAATTAACGCAGTGAATTCGTAAAAATTGTTTCATTTAGTAGGTAATTAACTATTTTATTTTACTTTGTGTCAAGAGCTATCTACATATCTTCGATATGTCTATCTGGTTGTCACTTATCAGTGTCAAACATTATTTTAAATTAAAATATGCTCACAAATTGTCACTAATATTTTTTTGATTTTTTAAACTTTATTGCAAAGATTCAGGGTATCGTATGTTCATATACATAAATATACTTATAACATAAGGTTTACATAACTTAAGGTTGTTTAATAACTTAAGGTTTTATAGCATAAATAAAGCCTTAAGTTTACTTTGACATAAATTTTTCACGTACTATTATTATTACTATTATACATTTCTACCAACGCCCGTTTATAAAGTAGCAATTCTTCTTTTTGCCAATTATCAATGACTTTGTTTTTTCAAATATATCGTCACGAAGATTTTCTTAGAAAATCAATGAGCTGGCTAAACACAAAATCAAATATATCTATAAACATGTAGAAAAATATATCGATACCTCGAAAACTGGAAAGGCACCCAAAACTGATTCAAAGTATATTTTTCTTGTTATTATTGTATTAGTTCCGACACGTTAATAGCACGCTAAGGTTGCATAGGTACGCTAAAATAGCATTCATAGCTCTTGGTACATTGAATAAACTACATTGAATGTATTTGTTTCTTTACATCATTTGTATCTGTCTTTTCAATTTAAATTTACAGTTCCCATCTGAAGAGGTATATATTCTGTCTCGTTACATTTTGTTCATAAATCACTATGGTCCCACACGCTGCAGATTTTGCAGAAGCAGGTTTGTCCGGGAAACTACCCCTGCCTCACAGAAGTGGAACTATTATGCTTCCTTGTTTCGTCTGGTAAGTGAGGTAACCCACCTTCTTTAAAGGTATTGTCGACGCATCTGCAAACCCCAAACGTTGTAGATGTCCATTAGCGACGGTAATTAACATCAGGTGAACCGTCTGCACTCATGAACATTTTTCACACAAAAAAATTTATAAAAAATGATAAATTTTCATTTTGTTCTTTTGCAATAGGCCAAATTTTTCGACTCTCAATTCATATAAGTTGCTTAGGAGATGCGTATTATTTATGATCATACATTGATCATGATATTTAATGATTTTTATATGACTAATATCCTGTCCAGGACAGGTTAGCGTCGCGTATTTCTCACCCCGAAAGAAGTTTAACAGTGTTCTTTATTGTTTGAACAGCTGCATTCTATATTATATATATATATATATATATATATTATATATATATATATATATATATATATATATATATATATATATATATATATATATATATATATATATTATATATAAGGTTTATATATTATATAATATATTATATATATATATATATTATATATATATATATATATATATTATATATATATATATATATATATATATATTATATATATATATATATATATATATATATATATATATATATATATATTATATATATATATATATATATATATATATATATATATATTATATATATATATATATATATATATTATATATATATATATATATATATATATATATATATATATATATATATATATATTATATATATATATATATATATATTATATATATATATATATATATATATATATATATATATATATATATATTATATATATATATATATATATATATATATATATATATATATATATATATATATATATATATATATATATATATATAATTCATATAAATTTACTTTACATATATATATATATATATATATATATATATGTATTTATGCATGCATGTATATATATATATATATATATATATATATATATATATATAGAAGTTTTTGTGGCTTCACTTCGGGCGTGATTTGTTTGGTGAATCACGTAGCCGTGGCATACTTTTTTAAGTTAGTGATGTATCTAAATGTTGTCCATAGGCGGAGGTAATCACATAACATCAGGTATACCGCCTGTTCGCTTCTCGTTTACTATTTTTTATATGTGAAAAGTAACAGTAAAAACAAGCAACCAGACGGTTCACCTGATGTTAAGTGAATACCGACATGGACAGCTACACCCGAGGGTAGCAGATGCGTTGACAACCTTTTGAAAATTGGGCTCCGGTCATCTCACTCACCAGACGAAACGCGAAAGTATTATACTTCCACTTTACGCCGGTCTTCTGTGAGGTCGTGGTACTTACCTGGACGAGCCTGCCCATTCGTGCAACAGCCGAGGCTGCTGCGTGGCCCTACAATCGTTACTAACTTTTAACATTAAAAAAATGTTCGGGAAGACAATGTGCGAACCCGGTCGGAGGGGTGATAAAACGATAACGTGAGGCAACTCAGTCAACCGTAATTAAGTTAAAAGAAGACATCCAGAGATAGCCTATTTTGTTTATTTTGCAATACGTTGACAGTATAAGGAGAACACGTAAGGTGTGTACCTATGTATGTATGTACCTATTATGCCAGGTTGGGAAGCTTTCGTAATAACCAATAAGATCAGTAATTGGGACCTCTGAATATTCAAAACCTACGCTATTCGACACATTCTCAATTCCCTGTTTTTACTCGTCCAAAACTTAATTTCCGTATATATTAGCCTACTAAGTTATTCGGAGCGAGTGCTTTCCTACGGCTGCCGTTCAGTTATCTAGTGACGACTGCTCCGTTGCCTGTCTGTAAAACTGCTAGGACGCCTGCATTTAAGCGCAAACTCTACAAGTAGTCAGTCATCACATCAATACATTTTTAATAGTGATTTTAACGAGCACGTATTTTACGTCACGACAGAATGCGGAAGATTATTCCATTCATCATCGTTGTTACGTCATACGCCGTATACGCAGGTAACATAAATTTCCAATAAAAAAAATTTAAAAAAAAAGATTTAACGTACCAAATTGTATTGTTGTAAATTTATTAATAATAAATTGCAACTTAATATATTTGTAACATCTGTCATGTTTATTTAGCTTTCTTATTTTCTTATTATTCAATTTACTAAGCTATATCTTCTATTTATAAATTATGTTCGTGAATTAGGTTCAAAGTGATTTCAAAGTTAAAGTTAAATGGAAAATATTTTAATAGGATACCATTTCTTTCAAGTACTTATGCAATCAAATTTATTTTATCTGTAAAGAAGTATACACCTGTGAACATCCGCAGAAGTCTGCTAAAGGGATCAGGGAAGAATGCAAGTACAGAGAATGATTCATAAAAGTCCTTGTTGTACCATTATAGTTGGGATATTCATTTAAGGCCGCTTTAATATACTATTTAAATTTAGTTCATTTGTTTTGCGTATATACATGACATTACCTTAACACTGCAATTTTTTCAAACACAGAACATTTTGTGTGGACTCAATGTGCTAATTGCCTTATTACCTGTTAGTACCGATATTGAATTATTGAAAGTTACTGTTTTGTCTAAAGTGTCTAGTAGCTACTGTTGTGCCTAAAGTGTAAAAAAAAAGTCTAGTAGAATCTCCCAGTATCTCGTCACACCGTGTATGTACTATATGAATAATAATTCAATTTTTCAGTTGTCTCTTCATGTTACTGTCTTGCGTATAGCTGAGCTTATAAATGAGATTTTGAATTTACCATAGATACCACTTTTGATCCCGAGAGAAACCATTAATTTTGCATAGAGATTCTTGAATTAATATTCAAGAATTTTAAAGCAAATTCTATGGAATTTATTACCACTAATGCTTTTCATAAAACATTGAGCAATAAAACATTCTTTATACAAGAGCGCATCTCATTTTTCGACAGACTGAAATTATAAATGTATACATGATTGGTACGAAACTAAAATCCTACTTTTAATATGTGTATTAAAATAATTGTTTTCTAGGTCTCGAAAAATGTCCAACGGGGGAAGTACTCGACGAGTGCCCTTCGAATTGCACCGACTTCTGTCCTACTAGGGATGGTGAGTTCAAGCACTGCAAGCGACCCAACCGCAAGAAATGTTTACCACCGAAATGCATATGCCAGTTCAACCATCGACGGGCTGCAAATGGCACTTGCATACCAACAAGGGAATGCCGTAAGTTGAAGCTTAAAAAGCATCATGCCTCTCCTGCCCTTACCCCACCTAGGTAGGGTTCGCACAACGTGTGAATCATGTTGTAAGCGGTTTTGGCTATGTTTTTTATGACCGCCCGTCTGCCAGCGTTAACCCTCCTTGAGATTGCTACGCGCAGATCCGGAACAAATTATCTACGGGTCATACAAATACTTGTCTCGTGTGGGAATCGAACCCACGAGTCCCGACACCGAAACTTAGCAATAAACATCACATTTAATGTAATATCAGAAATTTTCTTACATACCAAAACATATTAGCTGTCAATTGCTAACAACTAAATGCCGACCAATTGCCGGTATAGTTTGACATTTTGCATACTTCTTGCAACAATCCTTTTTGTCTTTGAATGCGGTTCATCCGATCAAATTGAGGTGGACCAATTGTGTCCAATTGTGTCTGTTTCGTAACTTTCTAGGATCTTTGCTTGATATTGCAATAAAAATACTTTTTGGTATGGTAATCAGTAAAAGATTAATTAAAATTGACTTATTTTTTTTTTAATTTTTTTATGAATACGTAATTAATATTGTCGAATTATCAAAATTAATCGACCAATTATGACAATTTTGTAACCAAATGAAATAATTTTCAGATCCGATCACTAGGATTCATTTGAGGCGCCAAAGTTTTTCCGATTACATTACAATTTTAAACCTCCTGTAGTTAACCTCTTGTTTAGAGTTGAAATTTAATTTGCGCCACTTAATAGATGCGGCCGGTACTAGGGATTATCCACCATGCGAACCCACTGCGGATTGGCAGACTCCACATATATCATCGAAATATTTTTTGTTATTATTTCGAAAATATGAAGATTTCCTCACGATGTTTTCCTTCACCGCTATGCACGTGATAAATCGGCACTTAGAATTAAGAATTTCACTGATGCCGGCACGAGGAATTGAACAAGGTGCTCTAATATATTGAATTAGGGACGCTACCACGGCTTAAACTAAAACACTAACATTGTGATTTTAATTTTCTTTTATTTCTGAGATTCATAAAAATTCCTTTCAAATTACTTACTATCTCTCACAGCGTTAGGAGATTGTCAGGTTAAGCGGCTTCTACAATGTAACTTATTAACTGTTACCTGGTAGTTGCCATTATTTATTAAATTCTTCGTCCTTGGTTCTGGTTTCATACATTTGTGTAAACATCTATCTTTATTGAACTTGTAATGTCTTATACAGGACTCATAGTAGACGGCCTCTTACGTCACCTCTATTTGAGATATATTTTATTCGGATACATTTAATTAATTTTCTCTCCCCGAAAGAAACTAAGCAATGTTCTCGTTCCAACAGCTCCGTTCGAATGTTCAAAGCCGAACGAAGAATACAACCCGTGCCCAAGCTACTGCCCAACCGATGACTGCAGTCAAGCCACACCAAATGGGGAGTGCCCTAGCTTCGGAGTGATTCTAATAGTGCTAGAATGTTCTCCAGCGTGCCGCTGCAAACCGACCTATTGGCGCAAAAATGGCGTCTGCGTGCCGTACCAAAAATGCAATTCGAAAAAGGAAGACTACGAGTCGAATAACTGAATTATTATTGTGGAATCGTTTTTTTCTATATTATACGTTAATAGGGAGTTTGTGATTCCAGGACAGATCAGACACTTGTCACGTGCAATAAGGTCATTGTTAAAAATGGCATGATTGAACTAAAAATTATATCCTGCGTTCTAATCACAAAATAAATATGATGTAAGGTGCCTTGTTTTGTGCTTATAGCGCACTTATTGACTTATACGCGGATTATCCACCATGCGAACCCACTGCGGATTGGCAGACTCCACATATATCATCGAAATATTTTTTGTTATTATTTCGAAAATATGAAGATTTCCTCACGATGTTTTCCTTCACCGCTATGCACGTGATAAATCGGCACTTAGAATTAAGAATTTCACTGATGCCGGCACGAGGAATTGAACAAGGTGCTCTAATATATTGAATTAGGGACGCTACCACGGCTTAAACTAAAACACTAACATTGTGATTTTAATTTTCTTTTATTTCTGAGATTCATAAAAATTCCTTTCAAATTACTTACTATCTCTCACAGCGTTAGGAGATTGTCAGGTTAAGCGGCTTCTACAATGTAACTTATTAACTGTTACCTGGTAGTTGCCATTATTTATTAAATTCTTCGTCCTTGGTTCTGGTTTCATACATTTGTGTAAACATCTATCTTTATTGAACTTGTAATGTCTTATACAGGACTCATAGTAGACGGCCTCTTACGTCACCTCTATTTGAGATATATTTTATTCGGATACATTTAATTAATTTTCTCTCCCCGAAAGAAACTAAGCAATGTTCTCGTTCCAACAGCTCCGTTCGAATGTTCAAAGCCGAACGAAGAATACAACCCGTGTCCACCCTACTGCCCAACTGACGACTGCAGTCAAGCCACACCAAATGGGGAGTGCCCTAGCTTCGGAGTGATTCTAATAGTGCTAGAATGTTCACCAGCTTGCCGCTGCAAACCGACCTACTGGCGCAAAGATGGCGTCTGCGTTCCGTACCAAAAATGCAATTCGAAAAAGGAAGACTACGAGTCGAATAACTGAATTATTATTGTGGAATCGTTTTTTTTTCTATATTATACGTTAATAGGGAGTTTGTGATTCCAGGACAGATCAGACACTTGTCACGTGCAATAAGGTCATTGTTAAAAATGGCATGATTGAACTAAAAATTATATCCTGCGTTCTAATCACAAAATAAATATGATGTAAGGTGCCTTGTTTTGTGCTTATAGCGCACTTATTGACTTATACGCGATTAAAATTAACATTCAAAGGTTTTAAATAATTTTAGCAAACAGAAATCTTCATGGCCGGCAACTACTGCCAATTTTATTAAAAAGGAATCGAAATGCTTAATTGTATATTTTTTATTGTACAATAATACGTGTTATATTACCGTTAAATGACAAAACAAAACCCGTTTCTTTGATATGGTGTCTGAATATTACAATATTTATTATTGATTATTAAAAATTTGATTGCCTTTATCATCAAAATCACACGTTTGGTTTATGGAACGCCACATCTACTTTATGCCTAATGACAGGCCGTAACAATTCCCGTAAGAGCCAACCAATTCATTCAGCGTCAGAAAAAAAAACAATAAGTTACAACAATAAAGGTAATTAAGAATGGACCTCTTATGGCCATTGAGTCATATTAGAATGGGTGATCTGATCTACTGGCGTTAAACTGCAGCCTAGTGATAATGTCATGACAACTTACCAGCAGTTTGTTTTTATTTTTTATGAATTTTATTTACAGCAACAACATTAGTTCTAACGTTTTTTTTAACGATTTTTGAACGATGTAAAGTAACAGCCTATAAATGTTTCACTGCTGGGCAAAGACCTCCTCTGTAAAGAGGGTAACAGAGCGTAGTCCACCACGCGACCCCACTGCGGATTGTGACTTCACATATTTTCAAAATATTTTGTTTATGGTATTATTTAGAAAATACACAGGTTTCTTCATTGTGTTTTCCTTCACCGCCTTGCACGTGATAATTCAGCACTTAAAATTAACAACTTCATTGGTGCTGGCACCGGGGATCGAACTCAGGTTGCTCGAGTAAATTGAATTAAAGGCGAGCGCCCGGACACTGAGCTATCACGGCTTAGCTATGAACGCTGCACGAATAAGAAATAAAATTATAATGTCGTATTTCTATGTATAAATAATATAACGGTCACGACTTCAATCAGTTTTCTGGTATTATAATTTCAACGCTAATTTAGCAATTGCATCGTAATGTTTAAGTTGTTATAACTTATCGATAATACCTATACGCAAAGACGTCTGACAATTGACTTTCATCTCTACCATTCTGAGAAAGTTTTACTATTCAGCCTCTCGTTGACAGTTACAAAGATTTTTTGTGCTACAATAAGGGATTTCTCCCAAAGAGACAAATCAGCTTTAGTTATATCTTCATTTCTCATCCACCAGAACAAAGTACCCCTGTAGAGTTATGGTATATATTTAATTTTATTTTCTTTCGGAACAATGTAAAAAGAGTAGATATTACATATGTATGAATACAAAGTAGTTATAAATAAGCTAATAACATTATGTTTTGACGTATGAAGTATCTAGTAATATATACGAACTAGCTGCTGCCCGAGACTACGTCTGCGTAGAATGGGTAACATTAAGACAGAAAGACAGATATACATAATATAAATATATATATATATATATATATATATATATATATATTTATATTATGTATATCTGTCTTGGTAAAGACACACTGTATATAAATTATAGCCTATGTCTTATTCTGATAAAGAGTAACAAACATCCAACCATACATACAAACTTTCGCCATTATATTATTAAGTAAGGATAAATTTAAATATAACAAAGTCGTTTAGTAAAACATATATAAATGAATAAATTTCTATAATTTATACTATAAAATCGAACCACTGTTTAGCTAGAACTTCCATTATTCGTTTGTAGTAGGTAACTACTTTCTTTTGACAATTGTTTCAATTTTATTACAACGTTATGTAGTTTCATTGAAGTTCTCATATTTGAAAATTCAACTAACTTACAATTATGACGTTATTTTGAAAATTGTTTATTTCTAGTTTTTATAAAAACAAAGAGAAAAAAAAATCTCGCAGTTTATATTTATACAGCGTGTCCTTATCATCGCGAATAATAAATGAACACACGTCTAACGCTACTTGCCAATAATCATAAAAAAATAAAAAAACGTTAAAAAAATCCATATTAAAAAAAATATTTTTCCGACCGATTCATACATTCAGAGACTTTTTCATTCGTTGCTACAAGTTGTTACAAGTCTCTCCTTCTAACAGTATGTTTTATCTCTTTTAAATTCATTCAACCCATTCATATGCTTTGTTACCTTTACAAATGAGACTTTACGTTTTGTTCCAAAAATGTTTGTTTTGTAAGATTTAATAACTCGGTAAATACTAATGTTTAAAGAATGTAAATGCTTAATACAATTTTAAAAAGTTATCCTCTATATGTGTGTTAATTTATTGTCGCGGTTGTAACGACATGCTGTATAAATAAATATATACCCACGTGCATTTTGGTTGCAAATATCTATATGAAATATTAGTTAATAGGGCAGTATTAGCTAATATAAATTAGCTAGGTATTTGATATTCTAAATTAAATCTCTTGGAGAAGCGCTGTGTATATATACAGCGTGTCGTTACCATCGCGACAATAAATGAACACACGTCTAACGCTACTTGCCAATAATCATAAAAAAATATTAACGTTAAACAAAATCCATAGTTAAAAAAAATACTTTTCAAACAAACTAATTAAGTAAAAAAGAAACAAAATTTGTAACATCCTATACAACTCGCCCCACAGCGTCGCATTACAAGCCTCTCCTAACAGTATGTTTTGTCTCTTTTAAATTCATTCAACCCATTCTTCATATGCTCTGTGACCTTTACAAATGAACTTTACGTTACAGTTTTATACGTAAGGGTGTTCTAAAATTGTTTGTTTTGGAAAATTTTATAACTCGGTAAATATTGATGTTTAAAGAATGTAAATGTTTAATACAATTTTAAAAAGTCACCTCTATATGTGTGTTCATTTATTGTCGCGGTGGTAACGACACGCTGTATAAATGTAAAAAGTAAAACTGGAGACTACAGATTATTAAAGTACAGATTGGTGTACGTGGCCAGAAAGTGGCAATAATCTATTTGTCTTTGGATGTACTTTACTTTTACGTTTGTCACAGTTTTGTTACATTGCATATTTAGATTGAAATTCATGTTCAAATTGTTTTAGTAGCAACGTCAAGTTTTTTTAGGAATATTTATATGTCAATTATAGGAATAATAAACTGAAAATTTCTTGAAATTGCCAATTAAATTTTAATTGTAGATATGCGCAATTTTATTAAGAAAGAAACTTGTTTTTTTATTATTTTTCACAATCTCTCGATGAAACACAATCGTTATTGATATCCCTGTAGTGTCCCTTTTTGCACAAACATTTCACTCTGCAATAATCAAAGTTATCTCTCAAACAGTTTTCATAGGTGCCGCGAGTTTGACAGGTTTCTTCTGGACAAGGCGACATGCAATCCAAGACCTCGTTCGGTTTTAAGCATCGCATAGGATCTGAAATAAATGACACATTTTTTTTGTATACAATACCTAATTTGCTTCCACAGTCCTATACTACCTTGAAATACATTTTAGGACAATAGACACACAATGTCATGATTTTCAGTCAAATTCAAGAATTTCTTTATTCACTATAGGCTTATTGTAAGCTCTAATTATACACTAGCGGACCCAACAGGTAACCTTTAGTAAAATCCGTTCTTAACCTCTAATCGGCGAAAGGAATATTCCTACCAAATTTCAAACCTCTACGCTTTATGGTTCCAGAGATATCGTGATCGTGATGAGTCAATTATCGGAGGATATCTCTTATATATAAATAGATATAAAAACTACTTACTTTTGGTAAGGTAATTCGATTAAGGTAATAGCAATGTGAAGTAAACAAACATCAAATAGCGAATATGTTTTGACAACAAGCAAACAAAGATGACGATTTCTCATCAAAAAACTTTAGCATGGCGTCAAGATACATGAAGACATGCCAATTTAACACTATTTTACGGATATTATCTCATTCCTTAGTCGATATATAAATATGACGAATATCTGTCAATACGAAACAAACATTTACTATAATTCATATTCGCTATATAATAAATAATAAGCGGTTTTCCCTATTTTAACAAATTAACTATTAGTTTCAGTGATATGTTGTTTATTTCCTTATTGTTGTTCTAGTTTCTATCGCTATTCGGTTTATTTCCTATTTATTGTATTTGTTATCTCAGTAAAGTTATATCAATCCAATTTTATCTGTTTTAAAGTACCTATACTGTTACTTTTTAATGTAGGTATATGATAATTCTAAATATTTTACATATTCTAAAGTTTTAGTTTATATATTTATTATGTTTTAAATAACTTACTATTTCATGTTTACTTCAACTTCATATTGATAAGCTTACTTAAAAGTAAATAAAAAATTACATAATAGCGACTTATTTGTCACTATTATTTGCGTTAGAAAAGCGTAATGAGACATTACTTACTACACTTTTACGAATACACCAACAAATTCGAAAAACCTAGAAAATTACACAGAACAATAATAGCCGGTAGTTTTATAGCCTATCTAAATTTTGAATTGCTCAGATCATAAGATCAGATGATTCATAAATTAGCCCCATTTATATTTTATTCATATTTCTAATTTTATCTCGACTCTATTTAGAATATTCATGTACAATTTTTTGTTTCTTATTTAACACCATAACTAAGTATTAAGAGGTAGATCATCCGTTTTCATATTAACGTATCAAATTAATAAAAAATACTTACCTGCCTTGCTGGTTGTTACCGTAATCAATAGGGCACAAAACAAAATATACGCTGAATATGTCTGCATTGTGGTTGCTTACAGTAATTATTGCAACGCTTACCTACTGCTACTAAAAACATCATTCCTTATATGTAAATATATACGAAGGCGTAATTTACATATAATGTATACGTTACGGTTAAAATGACGTATGGGAAATTGTGAATAATAACGACTAACGTGATCAAATTATCGTACTAGCTGGTTCTAATTATTGATTTTGAGTAAACCTACACTACCCTACTATACTAATATTATAAAGGCGAAAGTTTGTGTGTATGGATGGATGCTTGTTACTCTTTCACGCAAATACGACTGAATGGATTTTACCGAAACTTTACAATAATACAGCTTGTACATCAGAATAAGGCATAGGCTATAATTTATATACATATTTTATGTATATCAGGCTTTCTGTCTGAATGTTACGCCTTCAGCCTATTTTACGCAGACGTAGTCGCGAGCAGCAGCTAGTTTTATATAATTTATACTGCTTGGATATTATTTTTGATGAATTATTTCTGAAAGTTGCCCTTTTTTCATAATTAAATGTTTAATAAACCTTGGCGACCTTGCCAATAATCGGGACAAATTCCAGATATTATAAAAGTTGCACCTAATGCCCAGTTTCCGAAAGGCTAATCAAAGCAGCAATCACATAACACTATGTCAAAAATGATCAGCTGTTAATCTCTCGTTAATCTTGCCTTGGGTTTCTGGAAGGTTTGTTCGAGAAAAATTTGCTAATCACTGTATAACCAATCATAATGAATGAAATGAATGATTTACATCAACTAACTCTTTCTATTGTAAAGCTGTCCCTTTTTAAACAAAACTTAAATTAACCTCACTATTCAGTCCTGTCACCGTGTGATTGCCAACGTATAAATCCGAGCTATAATAAAATTTAATTTATATAAATACATGCAAAATGTCAAAAAAAAACTTTACAGAACGTGAAAAAAATGAACTTTTATCCATAATAAACAAGTAAGTATAATAAAAAGAAAGAATCCATATTATTTATTAACTTTTGAATTGCATTTTGCATTTTTTCTAATCACATGATATGTTCGCATACTAATAAATAGTTAATAGAACACATGAATGTCCTAACAACGTATTAGGGAATTATGTTTATTTTTAATAAAAACTAAGATTTTTGATAAATAACATTTTTAACCAACGATTGATCGTCCAAATTGACAAATTACTTAATAAAACTTTTGACAGCTCGTTGACCACCGAAAAGCGCTTTCAGAAACTCGATTTTCTGTTGATTGTCCGTTAATCAGTGACTAATTGCAAATCAAAATCGAATGTTGTTTAAGACGTTCTAGCAACTCAGATCATGTTAAACAACGATTGACAAGAGATTTATCGTAAATTAAAGTTGATTGCGCTTTCGGAAACTGGGTGTAAGTAACGTAACCTTATTTCATCATAGTGCTTACAAGTGTAACTTTTTTCGTAAATTTGAACATTTACCAGAATTATTCTTTTTTTTTACGCATATAATTATATAAGCATATATTTTTATCTATAACTTTAGTATAATCTAAAATGTTTATATAGTGTTTATATATTCCTTATATTTATAATTATGCATATATCTTATTTTATTTTCTTTTTATATTAACATTTTGTAATTTTTACATCCCTTACTGCATCTACCATAAACTTTCACTACAACCTGGGTTGACTGGTAGAGAAGGCTTGGGCAATAAGTCCGCCTTTTATTACCTTTTTACTGAAGGTTAGGAATAAATCATAATATAAATAAATATAAATAATCTATAAAACAAACAAAAATGTTTTATAGTTAGTCCTAATTACAGTATTATCTCTTGTAGCAAACACAAAAATTAGCAAATTATTTAAAATTAATAACTGGTAAAAGTGAGTATCCTCGGGAATATAAAAATCAATTTCAGCAATTATTATAAATACTTACCGGTGATTAATAGTAATTATCAATTGAACATTTTATCCGTAACATATACATATCAAGTACTGCTAACAACGTTGGAACTCAACGTTGTTAGCAGGATTGATATACGTTAATGGCTCTTAAACATTTACGTTTTCCGACATCAATCCTTATCTAACCAAGTATCCGTTATTAAGGTTTTTTATAGTGAGCGAAAGGTATATAACACCTTTCTCTTAAGTATATTATATCAACCTTTTCTCTTAACATCTATTTTGATTTTGCCTTCTCAGTCTTAACGCCTCCTTTTGTCGAGATTTTTCGTGCATCTTTCGAGTTAGATTGTAAAAAATTAATGAACCTGAAGGACATATATTTATATAAAATATCATTTATGACATTTTCATCAAACACCGTCCCGTGTCTAACTTTTAGTTATAAATTAGTAAATTACGTTTAAGGTGTATCTAAACTAAAAACATATTGGTTTTTTTTTGTTGAACACAATCGCGGACAATAGCCTTGAATAACAAAAAAATACTATTTACACTGCTCATGGTGACTGTATCTGCAGGTTATATCTATTGCACATATTCAGAAATAATATTAATACCTTTAAAACGACTTCACATAAACTTTAAGTGTGTTGTGCAATTTTTGACCTGGGATAAGCTTAAGGGATAAGTTTGGCTTGTCGTCATGCTATTAATTAATATTAAAATACCCTAAGTTGAGTATCTTTAGGTTATGATGATATTGATGCAAAAAATTATAATCATGTAGAAAAAGTTTATTGAAATGGATGTAAATGCCAATAGTATGTATAATCAACATATATAGCTATCAAACTATGTTACTGACAAATATCATTCAATACAATAATACACCAATTTACACAACATTTTTTTAGAAAATTCAAAGTTCTTGTTTATCGACCGTCATGTGAAGAAGTCACTTTTGGACAATCGCACGTCGGTATACAAGTCGAGTTTAGGTGCAATCTCAAATAGCCAGGTTTGCAAACGCATCCGGGTTGTCCCTTTTCCTCTGAGTCGCATTTGTACTGAGCCAATAAAGATTGGCAAGTCTCCGGAGGGCACTTCTTTTTATCCGGTTTATACACCTCGTTCGGGCCGGTGCATTTTTTATCTAAAAATATAAATTAATATTAATAGATAACTAAAAAGCACTTGTTAACTTTTCGTATGACGCTTATCGTATTGTCATCCTTGTATTCGGTATATTAACGCATAATCTGCCCAATAACCGGAATCCGGCAAACCTATATACCTTCCAAAGATTCATGTTTTTCATACTATTTCGAGATACTGGGGCACAAAAACACAAAGAGAAAAAGAGTTTAATTGTATAATTGCAATTAAAAGTTCTGAGTTATCATAAGATCAGCGCTGAATAAAAAAATCGTGAGGTGACCACCATGTTTAAGCAAAAAGAAATTTTCGGAAGGTATGTTAAGTAAGGCCGGCAACCATTTGACAGCCCACTGGTGTTGCAGGTTTTCATGGGCACCGGTAATCTTAACTTACCACCAGGTGAGGTTAATTGCCCCTTTTCTCCATAAAAAAAAGTCTGCCAATGTCAATGCTATCGCGTGGTGTACTACGCCCTAACAACCTCTGTTACTTTATACATTACATATAAATAAAATTATAATATATAAAATTCTCGTGTCTGTAATTGAACTCCTCCGAAACGGCTGGACCGATTTACGTGAAATTTTGTGTGCATATCGGCCAGAGTGGAGAATCGGACAACATCTTTCATATTTTTCAGCCCCCTAAATGTTAAGGGTGGTCCACCCTAAACAATTTTTTCTACCCTACAAATTCCCTAGAAATAATTTATATGGCACAACAACGTTTGCCGGGACAGCTAGTTACATTATAAAATCATTCATTATCATAGTTCTCACTGTTGTGGGTAACACGATTATCAAATTTTAATAATTTCCAACATATACTGAAACCGTAGAGCCGTGATAGCTCAGTGTCCGGGCGCTCGCCTTTAATTCAAAATACTCGAGCAACCTGAGTTCGATCCCCGGTGCCGGCACCAATGAAGTTTTTAACTTTAAGTGCTGACTTATCACGTGCTCCGCGGTGAAGGAAAACATCGTGAGGAAACCTGCATATTTTCGAAATAATAACAAAAAAAAAATGTATTTCGAAGATATGTGAAGTCCGCCAATCCGCAGTGGGGCCGCGTGGTGGACTATGCCCTGATACCCTCTGTATAGTGGAGGCCTTTGCCCAGCAGTGGGACATGTATAGGCTGTTACTTTACTTTACTTTACTGAAACGAAAGCGGAACAGTCAAAGGCCATATAAATAAATAGTCAACAAAAATACGTTTTAAATGTCATTTCATCATGTCATTACCGCAAAGTTCGCTGGTTACGCAATATCCGTCGTAGTTTCTGTAAAAGCCAGCGTTACAAACGCAATCGTATTTGCACAACTCAATTAGGTTGTTGAAACAATTGAAACGAACGCCGCGATTCCTGCAAGTCCTGGGCGGCGGACAGGACTTCACACACTTCCAGTCCTCGTTCGGCTGATTGCATTGAAGCATTTCTGTGAAACGATCCATGTGTGTTAATTTCTCGAAATATTTTAACATAGAATTTTGAAGCACCGATACATATTTAATTGCGCTGATGTTTATCCGCTGACACGTATGCTTTTTTATTGGGTGGTGTCCGTCTACTCATATAATAAGGAAAAGAGCGGTCTCAAAGCCCGAGGGAGGACACTTTTACCAAATGAGTTAGTTAACAAACTGACCAAACGAGTAAGTTAACGCGTTAAAAGGTGGCAACGAATCTTGAACAATAGTTGTTGCAGATATCACTTCACATCAAGTGAACCGCAAGCTCCCTTGCCACCTTCACACATAAAATTGTCTAGTATTCGTCTCGTATGTCTGTAATAAAAAAATATTATTAAAATAATAAAAACGAGGCTTTAGCAAATATAATTTTAAGAAAATAAGTCAAAAAGCCGCAATAAACTAAAAATATCCAACATCATAAGGGTAAGAACCATAGCCTTGAGATGATCATCATTCAAAACCATAAGTCCCCGGGTAACGCTCATAAAAACGTTATTGTTGATTGTTAAGAATTAACTTTCGCCCCTGGCAACACCGCGAAATGTCAAATCACAACTTTTCCAACCCGATCGAACCGTTTGTTTTTGTATCGAATCAAATAAAAATAGCATTAAAATCTACAAAATAGTCGACCTCTTATTTAAAGAAAATCCCAGGAGTTAGCGGATTCATTGATATTTAATAACTTTTAGAAAAAATATATAGTCTTAATTTATAACTTAACTTAACTCTTAATTTATGATCCGGTGGTGGATTACGCAGTTCAACAAAATCTGGAGTGAAGAAAGTGACATTAACTTTGTCTTTCAACCGTTAAGTTTCAACGACCAAAATGTTTTCATCAGTTGCGCTTACTTTTGATGTTGGGACATTCTTCGTATGGGACGCATCGATCACCGTCCCGCCAAAAGTTTTTCTCGCAGCGGCAAGATGGCTGACATTGCAGAGGAATGCCGATGCGCCCGTCCCTCGGACAGTCGCCATTTGGCCTGGCGCGATCGCAGTCATCACTGGGGCACACGGGACATGCGTCGAAATGTTCATTGGCCAGCGGACACTTGTAAGGTGCTGTGAAAAGGCAATTAACATATTAATATGCGTTTATAGATAACAAAGCGGTAATAGAGAGCCAGTGGCAGGGATCTCAGTCGATATAGAAGTACCATAAGTATATTGAAAGGTCCTCGAGTGGCAGCCTCATACTGGGCATCGCAGTGTAGGACGACCCCCACTAGATGGCAAATGTGCGGGAAGTCGATGGATGCAGGTGGCTCAGGATCGTACTTCGTGGCAGTACTTGGAGGCCTATGTTCAGCAGTGGACTCAAACAGGCTGAAATGATGATAATGATGAAGTATAAAAGTAAAAAAGTAAAGTAACAGCCTATACATGTCCCACTGCTGGGCAAAGGCCTCCTCTATGCAGAGGGTATCAGGGCATAGTCCACCACGCGGCCCCACTGTGGATTGGCGGACTTCACATATTTTCGAAATATATATATTTTTCTGTTATTATTTCGAAAATATGCAGGTTTCCTCACGTTTTCCTTCACTGCGGAGCATGTAATAAGTCAGCACTTAAAGTTAAAACTTTGCCTTCATTGGTGCCGGCACCGGGGATCGAACTCAGGTTGCCCGAGAATATTGAATTAAAGGCGAGCGCCCGGACACTGAGCAATCATGGCTCTTATGAAGTGATGAAGTATATTGTAATTTATTTATATATTCAGTAGTAATAGAGATAGTAGAAATGCTAGTATAGTATAGAGTGTCACGTCGGGGTCACCAATATAGGGTTAGTGATTTATGGCTCCCTATCTCATCCATCCATCCGCTCCATATCTCATAGTTTTCTACTCTATCTCTAGTTAGCTTCATCTCCTCGAGGAGATGAGATAAAACTACGTTCTTATTATATATAATGTTTAATATTAAATGTACAAGAAATGCATGAAAGTGTGCATTCGCTAGCTACTCGCGATGACCTATACTGCACTGCACAATAAGGCGCACGGGGCGTTCGACTACAATATCAAATTACAATGTGTCGCCACACTAGTGGTTGGAATTTCAGTTGATGTAGAGGCAGAGGCGGAAATAGTGAATGAACAGAAGTGTTACTTACGACATTCGCTCGTGGGTACGCAGGTGCCATTAAGCAATCGCTTGAAGTTGTTTCGACAGGTGCACTTAGCAGGCGGACACTTAATCAGAGCAGAAGAGGAAGCTAGACAAGCGCGTGCCTCATTATCGTTGGTTGGACAGTACTCGCAGCTCTCTGCTGGACAGTTATTCAAAATCTCGTTGACACCGCAAATCTGGTTTTCTAAAATTTTGGATAATTATTTATTTCGTATTTCTTGAGATAGAAACTATGCTGAAATTAATCTTACTATTTGAGATTACAGTTTATTTGGAAACTTCATACCAATTCTATAACAACAACATCCTACTTGTGCCTACTGTGAAGTTTACCGTTATTAGAAATGAATATGCGACTAAATTTATCAAAATATCTAAATTTAGTTATAAAAAATAAAACGTAACTTTACAAGGAAGCAGGCTCAATTAAGTGTACTTATTCAAACATGAATATTTCTTTTGTTAATTGTAACTATATATTTATTCAAAAATAAAGGACGAAAGAAAAGTAAGTAAAGTAAAATTTGCCGCACCCTAGTTTTCTTCTTTGACGTAATTAACTAATCTAAAACTGAATATTAAATAATGAATGTACTAAAATTGAAAAGATCTCCTATACTTACGGTTAGCTAGCTCAGGGCACTCTTGCATAGGTATACAAGTCGAATTTGGATCAAGTCGTAGAAAGCCCGACTTACAAACGCATCCTGGCTGTCCAACTTCTTCAGGATCGTATCGACATTTTGTTACGATGGATTTGCATGTATCTGACGGACACGTCTTCTTATTTGCTACATACTCTTCGTTGGGGCCAGTGCATTGTTTATCTGAAAGATATTAATCATAGTAATGATTTCTGGCATGCACGCATTGCAAATGGACGCAGGAAGGTTATAGTTGTATTAAAGGCCACATTCTAAAATACTAGTGGACACATTTGCAAAATTTACTAAACATCTTCTCGCAAATATTCCTAATAAGGCTTCTTCTATTTCTAAAGCCGAATTTGCTGCTTTATTTTTATCAAATGGTATATGGACAATTGTGCCCAACTATTAAAACTTACCACACAAATCAGGAGTAACACAAAATCCGTCGGAATTCCTGAAGAAACCATCATCACAAACACATTCAAACTTGCAAGTTTCGTTCGTGTTATCAGGGCATTTATATAATAATCGTAGTTTTCGAGTTAGACACGTCGATTGACGCGGGCATGATGTCACACATTTTACTGATTCATTAGGTCGACTACATTCTGGAGGCTCTGCAAATTCATAACTTTATATTTTTAATGCGGTTTACATGTCCTTTTATAGCTTATACTTATAAATTAGTTACATACTTGACTTAATTTTTCGTAAACGACAATTGAATGGAATCGATTAGCTGGACAGAAACACTAAAACAGGTCCCAAAAAGATGCAGCGCGAACTAACAGGGGACATTTTCAATTAATAAATTTGTTTTAACGCCCAATTTCCTTTAAGTAAATAATAATAGCGCAACTAAACAGCCTTTCGCAGACAAAATCAGAATATTGGAAAGCAAAAGAAATTTGCTACACTGGTTTAACATAGCTCTCAGTCTTGTAGTCTCGGGCTCAGAGAATAAAGGCTCTAAGGTATCCCCTGCCTATCTTAAAAGGCGACTAAAAGGGGACACGGATTGGAAGCAGACCCAAATGGTCCCGAACTACTGCAAGATGGCGAAGGAATCGGGGAAGGTTTATCCTTCTCTAGGGCGTGCTCACGAGCAGTACCGAGGGACACCGGTGCGTTCTGTAGGAGACCCCAGAGTTTTGTCAAACATACAGAAGTTGGCCACCGAGGGGGTTTTAGTGGATAAGAACCTCGCATAACTCAGGCCAGCATAGCTCTTCCGGTGCTGACATAGGATTCAATTAATTAAAACTCATAATTTAAAACAGAAAGCGGCCTTTTGGAGTCAGAACAATCAATAATTTTTTTATGCTTACGGTTAGCTAGTTCGGGGCACTCCCTTGTAGGTATACATGTCGAGCTCTGATTGAGTCTCAGAAAACCAGATTTGCACGCGCACCCTGGCTGCCCGATCTCTTCTGGGTCAAATCGACATTTTGATACGATGGAGCTGCATGTATCAGATGGACACGTCTTCTTGATTGCTACGTACTCTTCATTCGGCCCTGAGCATTCCTTATCTAAAAATTATGTATAAAAATAAAAAAAATCTTTTATTTACAAGTGGTACATATTCACAGTTGATAATAAATAAGGATTGTAGTATTTGAATTCCTTATAGCATAGATGACATGAGCATGACCTGGGCATGCCCCACTTAATCACCAAGCTTGAATTCGGATTGATTAATATCCCCACCGACTTCTTCTGTTGCCTCGTTTTGCACCACTATAATTGTTTATATCTATAACACTCACCACACAGGTCGTAACTAACGCAGAATCCTTCGGAGTTCCTGTAGAAGCCATCGTCACACACACATTGGAATTTGCAAGTTTCGTTTGTGTTATCGATGCACCTATAAAACACGTTTCGATCTTCGCAGGTCCTCGGAGGTGGACAAGTTTTCACACATTTCGCGGACTCGTTAGGGAGGTTACATACTGGAGGCCCTGAAATTTTTCTGATTGTTAATTAAAAGATATCAAATAGAAAATCCCGAACGATTAAATGTATGCCTACAACTTTGCTTACATTACGCAACTAAATTTGAATTAATACCTTCTTATTTATATTTAAGGGGTAGTTAGTTAGTTTGTAGTTCAGAAATGTATGTGTGTTTTTAGAATGATAATTAAAAAAAAGAAAATATATTATGTATACAGAACAAGTAAGAAAATTTAGGAACTTTCGATTACTTACTAAATATTACGTTCTATTTTCACCCATAGAGATGGTATATTTTATTATTGTTATTTGACAACTTTATTTTATGGCGATTTAATGGCTAATAAAAGCAATAAAATGGGTTTTTATGGCGTTGCAGGTACCTAAAAAGATGGCTAACGGACACTAAGCCGCTAAGATAAATATCCTCAGAATGTCAACAGGCACCAAGTGTGGATGGACTTTGAGTATGCAGCTTCCATATTTGAAAATCCAATCATTAATACATTTGACTACTGATCATAGGCGAGTAAGGTAATACGATTCCGTCTCTAAAAATATTCATACTTACTGTTTGCAAGCTCGGGGCATTGGTCTGTGAGTATGCATGTTGAGGTAAGATTAAGTCTCAGGAAGCCAGGTTTACAAACGCAACCTGGTTGTCCCACCTCCTTAGGGTTGCAAGCGTATCTAGATATTATGGATCGACATATCTCGGGTGGGCATGTTTTCTTGTCTGCTTTGTATTCCTCATTGGGACCACTGCATTTCTTATCTAAAATAGGCATTTCAGCAAGGACAATCACCTCAGTCACCCAAGTATAAAGATTTCTAGTATCGACTTATTATTAAAGTAGTTCCGGTAGAATTATTTATTGTTCGGCGCTGTGTGTCGTGGTGTCGATTCTCGTTCAATTGTGTTCTATCTATCTCGGATGTTTACTGGACATTTCTTGTGCAAATTATGCCAATGTTTTTAAATATGGACTGATAAAACCAATATGATTATAAAGCTCTTACCGCATAGCTCCTGAGTGACACAAAAACCATCAGAATTACGATAGAACCCTTCGTCGCATGCGCACTGGTAAGTGCATGGCCTTTTCAGATCAACGAGGCAATGATACCGCTTGTTGCGATTCTCGCACGTTCTTAACGGAGGACAAGGTCTTACACATGTAACACTTTCGTTTGGGAGAGAGCAATTTAAGGCGTCTGTTAAAAAGGCGAGAAAACATTAAAATAAAATTAAAAGAACTCGTATTAATCAATAATACGTTATTCAAGAAGTTTTAGAATTGTTCTAATATTAGGCGGCTTCTTCTTCCGATTTTTGTTACAAAATAGTACGTGACACGAAATTAGCATTTGAGTCCTATGAAACTTTAAAGCTTAATTTAGTAGGCAAGTTGTTATTAATTACGCAAAAAAAATTGAAAAAAGCAACCAAAGAAACCATTATATTAAAAAATTTGAACTATCAATAATATTAGATATATTTAATTCTTGAAATACTTTCATTCTCTTTATGCTTTTTAATTCGCCTGGGTAATTAATGTCCATGAAAGTACTATTTTTAAAGTTATAGTACAAAAATGTTTTAATGTGAAAAGAAAAACAAGTAAACACATGGATCGAATAGTTATTGCTGTTTTTAGAGAATTTTATAAATATAGAAAACTCCAATCTAGTGTTAATCTATGAACCTTGTTGATACGATATGATAAAATTTTACATTAAAAACAAGGTGTACATACATGCATTGCAAGATTTTAAGTATAAAGAAAGTGTTCTATCATGTTCAGTCACATATTGACGCATTACCCTCATTAACAACTTTGCAAATTGCTCACTTTTGATGTTGGGACAGTTTTCGTATGGAACACAGCGATCACCATCCCGCCAAAAGTTGTTCACACAGCGGCAAGATGGCCGACATTGCAGAGGTATGCCGATGCGCCCGACAGTCGGGCAACCTCCATTCGGCGTGGCGCGGTCACAGCTGTCGCTAGGGCACAGGGGGCATGCGTCGAACTCTTCATTGGCCAGCGGGCATTTGTATGGAGCTGTGGTAACACAATAAATATGTTGACGTGTGTTTAGAGATTACAAAGCAGTTATAGCCAGAAAAGCTAGTGGTTTCGATCTCAGTTGATGTAGAGGTAGGGGCAGAGTTGTGGATGAACAGAGAGTTACTTACGACATTCTCTAGTGGGTACACAGGTTCCATTAAGAAATCGTCTGTAGTTGTTCCGACAGGTGCACTTGGCAGGCGGACACTTATCTGGAGAAGAAGATGAAGCAAGACACGCGCGTGACTCTTTATCGTTGGTTGGACAGTACTCGCAGCTCTCTGATGGACAATTGTTCAAAATCTCGTTGACACCGCAAGTCTGGTTTTCTGAAATTTAGTAAAACTATTAAGTAAATCTTCCTTGAACCTTTTTTTAAGTTAACCACCTTTTTTAAGTGAAAAGTTGCCAAGCGAGCAGACGGTTTACCTGATGTTAAGTGAATCCCGCCGTCCATGAACATCTGCTACACCCGACGGTTCCAGATGCGTTGACAACCTTTTGAAAATTGGGCTCCGGCCACCTCACTCACCAGTCGATACGCCAAAGTATTATACTTCCACTTTACGCCGGTTTTCTGTGAGATCGTGGTACTTACACGGAAGAACCTGCCCATTCATGCAACAGCCGCGGCTGCTGCGTGGCCCACCCTTGTTAACTCTTACCACACAAATCAGAAGTAACGCAAAATCCGTCGGAACTCCTGAAGAAACCATCATCGCAAACACATTCAAACTTGCAAGTTTCGTTCGTGTTATCAAGGCAATTATACAATGATCGTAGCTCAACAAAGTGGTTGGGCTGGATGGAAACACTACAATGGCTATCAAAAGTAGAACGCTGCAGTGAGAACTAACAGGGTCCTTTGGCAAAGCAAAACTTAAACAATCAAAAGATTTTTTACGCTTATGGTTAGCTAGTTTAGGGCACTCCTTTGTAGGTATACATGTTGAGCTCTGATTGAGTTTCAGAAAAACAGATATTTTGATACTGTAACTTAAACCCCCCCCTTTTTTAATATATAATTATACAACTTATATATATTTTTGCCCCGTTATGTGTATATGTATGAATAAAGCATATAACATCATTACGTGACCAGGATAATTTATTGATCTTTCTATAGGATCTTTCATAATAAAGTGATAATTAGCCGTATGAAATATTATTGTGATCGTTATGTTCGGTAGGACCTTATTTACGTTGTGTTTATTTAGTAACTTGATTCTTTTAGGTGTATCTTGGATAGATAAATATTCACTAGTCGTGGTATAAACCAGAGCTAACGCCAGATTGCTTTCTTACAGATTGCTTACTTATCAGAAGGGTTTATAATTGGCAAGATATATTTATTTGTCAGTGTCTCTGACGTTGAGTATAATGTATTTTCGATCAAGTTTGTCTCACCCACCAGCAAGTTGCCATTATTCGTTCGAACGGTGGGAACTTTAATGAGATTCGTTAATAATGTTAAAACGTATACGGGAGGTCAGACAGTCTGCAGTTCCGTCATCAGGAACCCGACTTGGACAAATCTACTGAGATGTGCATCAAACCGAGACACAGACTCGGCCATTATGAATAGCGTCGTGTCCCAAGCAAATGTCGCAAGACGCAATGTAACTCAGTGCAACATGCATCAATACAACTATCGCAGGTCAACACGCCATCATACAGCCTATCTGCATACACAGCAGACATCATCACCTCGAACCTCCATCAACCAGAATCATAAGATGCAATGATATTAGGCGCAGATCACCCCGCAACTACCACAAGACGCATTACTGCACCAAACATACTCTTTCACGATCCGAATGATAGTCGACGTATCATAGCGTATAAACACTAAGACGCAAACCCCAGTCAAGCAATAGCCAACGTACCATAGTGGAATACACTAAGACGCCAGCCACCACCAGACTCCCCAAAGTCAGAGGATCATTCGACGTATCATAGTGCAGCACACTAAGACGGCAACTACCACCAAACTCTTACTATGCCGAATGACAGCTAACGTATCATAGTGATGGTCACTAAGACGCCAACTATCATCAGCTATCGATGATATATCCACCACTCAAGACATATACATTCATGGTTCCACGTTTACCGTAGACCATATTTTATATTGTACAGAAGTACCCCGCAACTCCATAGTAATATCTCTTATAAATTCCTAGGTCATTCATTGCTCTTAGTTATATTAATATATTTATTATTTTTTCTCTGAGCCTTCACAGATTATCACTTTTATCTATTAGACCTTACTTCCATATGAACTTGATATGGGACGTTCATACGATGTACTTTCCCTACACTATTAAATAACTCGGTAAATATTGATGTTTGAAGAATGTAAGTGTTTAATACAATTTTAAAAACCTCTATATGTGTGTTCGTTTATTGTCGCGGTGGTAACGACACGGTGTATATGTACGGTCGTACAAATTTGTCCCCGCGCGGTACATAATACTTCCCCTAGAAATCACTAAGTATGGAATTGTATTTTATTGACATAATAGTGTTCGTATCTTTCTATATTTTTAATAAACGTCCTTTTTTGAATGATTTTTTAACTATTTTTTATCAATTTTTTGGTAATATCATTTTCTCATACTAACACTTATATTTCTTTAATTTAAGTATATATTATTAACTTTTATTGTGATTAAAAGTTTTATTTTCATCTAAATTAATCTTTATTATGATTAATTAATAATAATGTTTATTATTATTAATAGGGCGTTATAATACGATGGAGCTGCGTGTATCAGGTGGACACGTTGTTTATTATTTGTAAAATGTTTTTATTTTTTTATTTGACTAGCCGTGACTACAAGGATGAGTTCGCCTTCGTCTACGACCGCTGCGTCAAGCAACCCACCGTGTAACTACATTAGATACAACGCCGTTGCGAGGGTGTTCTCTACGCTCCTAGCCAACAATCAATAATACAGCCAGTAGTCGTCATGTTCATGTTCTGTAAACTCTACTTCGACGACCCGTAATGTCAAGAGTTCAGAATCTGTTATGTAATAATTATCTTTCCTTAACTTGCTCCTTGCAAGTTATTTATTATCATTGGAGTTTGAACTTATATTATAATAATTATGGTTATGCCAGTCTTTTCGATTGTATCATGCGCATTGCATAGAAAAATAATTTTAAACATATTTTTTTCAGAACTCGTGTGTGTACGTGTGGCCATTAAAATGCAATATAAAACAAGTTGTAGATAAATATAGACAGCAAATAACTTTCAACATAAAATATAATAGTCACACCATTTAAAAGCAAACATTTACTATCCGAAAACATGTTTGTTACATCATGAATTTGGGAGTTATCCAGGGAGGTGGTAAGTATGTTTTCCGCTGCTGTTACAAGTCGTCCTTATCGGCCGCTACTCTTTCGTCCACTATCATTTGAGTACTAACCCTAGCACTAGCATATTATCGTTGTCATATTGAACATGATGTCGCAACGACCAAGATCAGAATAATGATATGTCACTGAGAAAATGTGAAGTATATAGATATTTTAGTATTCAACGCCAGTAAACAGACCTAGCTTACCTTTACTATTATCATCCAAATTTTCGGCCACATTATCGAAGTAACTTTCAGTGAATGGGTCCTCAGTATTTTCTGAACTTAATTCAAATTGTTTTTGTAATTCGCTGGCGTCCATCGGGTGTGCCAAGCATATATATGCGGTATTGGCGGTAATTTCTTCACTCTCTTCTTCAAATTCAGGAAACCCTTAAAAAATGTACAAAAAATAATATTTTACATTTATCATATAGAAGGTATTAGTCAATCAACGGGGTTTCTCATTTTTTTTATTATTATCATTTATTTAACTAAGGCTCATACACATCAACGTTTAAAATACATTTTTTTTATGTGAATTGTTACCAAACGAGCAGTGGGTTCACCTGATGGTGAGTGAATACCGCCGCCCATGGACATCTGCTACGACCGAGGGTTACAGATGCGTTGACAATCTTTTGAAAATTGGACTCCGGCTACCTCACTCGCCAGACGAAACGCGAAAGTATTTGTCATACTTCCACTTTATGCTGGTCTTCTGCGAGGTCGTGGTACTTACCTGGACGGGCCTGCCCATTCGTGCAACAGCCGAGGCTACTGCGTGGCCCTACTACCGACATATTACAAACTAACCATTATAAATATAAGTATATATTGTTTGCTATTAGTCAGTAGATAAAAAATGTCTGCGATGTGAAAACTTTCTTTTCTCTCTTCGAATAATCTTATCCTTTAAACGAGCAATTCTTGTATATATATATATACACTCGGCGTCAAAAAAATCGCACATCCGAAAAATTAATTTAAATTCTATTTTAACACAACAGGCCAATGGCAATGTTGTGGTTTGAGGGTATGATTCGAAAGGTAATTTCATTAGCTTTCAGGAATTTTAATTGAATTTTACTTTTATAACGAGACGAAAGAGAAATTAAAGAAAAAGACAGGGTATGTACAAATTTGCAAATTAATAATTTAAAAAAAAAACTTAATAAATAGAAAAAAAGTTCTTTAAACCTAGTGTTACCCCCCCTTGCCTTGATAACGGCTTCCATGTGATCTTTCACGGACCTTACAAGGGTCGCAACAGCCTCTTGGGGTATTTGTTCCCACTCTTCAAGTACCGCATCTTGAAGCTCTTGAAAAGTGGTTGGAGCTGGAACTCGAGCTTGCTAGCCAATGCATAACAGGGATATCGACCTCCTGTAAATAATCCCGGACAATAGCCGCGGTGTGGCAACGAGCACTATCATGCATTAACATGAATCCATCACCGACATAACCAGCATACGGGACCACATGTTCCTCCAGGATTTTAGTAATGTACCGACCAGCATTTAATGACCCTTGCCCACGGCCTCCCCGAGTCCGGGAAACGCACACAAGTTCCGTTTTCCCGTCGACGGATATGCCGCCCCAAAACATACACGAGCCAACCCCGTATTCGACGGATTCTTCGAAGCAGGGTTGTGTGAACCTCTCCCCCTGTCTTCTGTAGACCCTTCTACGTCTGTCATTGCAGAAGAGACAGACCCTAGTCTCATCAGAGAAGAGTACGGTCCGCCACTGTTCTAGAGTCCACTCGCAATGATTGCGAGCAAACTCTAGGCGATCTCTGCGATGCTGTGCAGTAAGTTTTGGACCTTTAGCAGGTCTATGGGCTGTTAAACTCTTTTCGTGTAACCTTCTTCTTATCGTAGAAACACTGACAGATGTTCTCCGAGTTGATCGAAGCTGTTGATGCAACTCAACAGCATTTGTAAAACGGTTTCGTAAAGATGAAACGGTCATCTCTTTCTGATGTGCACCGTTTTCTTCCAGATCCCGGTTCTCTAACATAACCACCAGTCTGCTGAAAACGTTGGAACACCCGTCGAACTGAAAAACGGGACAGGTTCAACTGTCGAGCAACGTCACACTGCCGAATCCCCGACTGCAATAGGGCAATCACTTGAGCGGCTTCTTCAGAGCTGGTGTCCATCTTTACTTGTGCTTACTTGGGTTACTTGTTCAATTGTGTTCACTGCAAAGTCAAAATTACGACTGACCCATATTTCTTTTTTTTTTTTTTTTTTGGGCTGGATGAGCCACTGTTGGCCTTAGGGGCCTTTACAGATCCGACGGACTTGAGGTGACCTGGCGCACGAGGCGCCTAGCCTGAACCTCGGCGTACTATTATTACGCGTTATGTGTGTGACTAAGCTCGTGGGCTCCCGGGGGAGCCTCTGCTCGGGCCGTCACGCTATTATTATTACCGGTTTGGGAGGCCGCCAAGCTCTTAGGGCGCTTTGGCGGGCGCTCCATGGAGTGATCGGGCTCAAGGGTCCCCAGAGGGGACCTCGGCTTGGGCTGTCACTCAGCACGCGTTTAGCATTCCGATTCGAGGGTGCCCGAGAGGGCCGGACCTCGGCTCGATCGGTAGCTATTATCTGACTGGGGGAATTACTAGTGCTAACATTACTACCACTTCGGAGAGCGTTGGCGCTGGGAGAAGAAGTGGCGGAAGAAACTCCAGCAACGCTTCTATCATTAATAGGGGAAAACCTGCCAGGTACGTGGCGGAACCTAGTATATGTTTGCCGCACTCGCCGGCGAGTGCGGTGTGTGTTGGTGTGTTTCTTGAGTTTTTTGATCCTTTCGATGGCGATAGTCGTCTCATCGTCAGGGAAGTCGAGAACGTGACGCGGTCTTCGGTAATCGCGGCGGAAAATATTTAGCGGCAAGGGCCTGTAGGTGACGGCACCTACGATAAGTGGGTTGGGATGCGCGGCGACGGAATCGAAGTATCGGCGCGACGCCGACTTCAGGAATTGCGCGATGGTGGGCAATTCTAGATCGACATGTAGGTCGATATTGCGCATGAACCAGGGTGCTCCCGTGGCTCTGCGCAAGAATCGATTTTGAATCACCTGAAGCCGGTGTATTTGCTTCGGAGCAATGTGAGCGAAGACGGGGCTCGCGTACGTCATAATGGGGCGAACTACTGCTTTATATAGAGTCACCTTGTTCCGAAGGGACATTTTTGATGTTTTATTGAGGAGCGGGTAGAGGCGACCGAGTACGAAGGCCGCCCGGTTCCTGACCTGGGTCACGTGCTGTGTGAATTTAAGCTGGGAGTCGAGGACGACGCCTTGATATTTGACTTTATTAACCCATGGTACTGGGCTGTCCAAGAGTTTAACGGGGGGTGGAATGGGTGTGTTCTTTTTATGCGCGAAAAGGACTGCCGCGCTTTTGGCGGGATTGATTTCGATCCTCCATTGCCGAAACCAGTCACCTATGGTGATGGCCGCAGCTTGGAGGCGTCGATGGATCAATTCGGGTGTTCTGCCTGTGGTGTAGATACAGGTGTCGTCGGCAAAAAGAGCAAGTTCTACATCTTTGACACGCAGCATGTCATTGGTGTAGAGGGTGAACAAGACTGGGCCCAACACCGACCCTTGGGGCACCCCGGCTCAAACGGGATGCGTAGTCGAACACACGCCCTCGACGCGATAGCGAAAGGTTCGGTTCGTTAGGAAGTCTCGTATTATGCATACGAGACGGTCGGGCACTCCGTACCCGTATAGCTTGTATACGAGCCCGTTGTACCAGACTTTGTCGAACGCTTTTGCCACGTCCAGGAAGAGTGCACCGGTGTTGAGTCCACGTTGGCGTTTGGTTAATATGTGCTCCGTGATGCGGTGCACTTGGTGGGTACATGAGTGTTTGGCTCTGAATCCAAACTGCTCTGGGATGGGGAGCCCTTTGGTGTCCATAAGGGATCTTAAGCGGGCTAATATTAGTCTTTCAAAGATCTTCCCAAATGTTTTGAGAAGACTTATTGGACGATATGAGGTTGGGAGAGTGGTGGGTTTAGAGGGTTTGAGGAACCCTATGACATCGGCTTCCTTCCACTCTGATGGGAAGAAGCCTTCGGTTAAGGCCACTTTGTAAATTAATACTAGTATCTGAAGGATGCTAGTAGGGAGGAGCTTGGTCACCTTATTGGTGATTCCATCTGAGCCTGGTGCTTTACGGGGGCGTAGTTTTTTAATGGTCTCTACTAGTTCTAGGCACGTGACCGGGGGAACGGGATCGCGGAGTGGTTCTAGAGCTTTCCTATCTACCTCTTCGTTCACCTTGCGGAGGTGTTCGGGGTCGATCGGAAGCAGACTGGGGGAGCATTGAGACTCTAGGCTGTCAGCCAGGCATTCGGCCTTCTCTTCGTCCAGCATTGCTGGCGTTCCTATCGGACGGACTAGTGGCGGCATGGTTGTTATGCCGTTACCCTTGAGGGCTTTGGGAAGTTTCTAGAAAGCTACGTGGGATGGTTTTATTGAAGTTAGGGTGGAGTCCCATCGTTCGTTTCGTGAATCTGCTATGCGTGTTTTGACCTCACGCTGCAATTTACGTAGCAGTCTACGATTCGAGTCGGTGGGATATCTATCATAGGCTCGAGTGGCCGCATTCTTGCGTGTCAGCAAGTCTCGCACATCGTCTGGCAGGGCCCAGCGATGGTCTTCCATCGCCGGGACCTGTCTCGAGCATTGCTCGACGACGGTGTTGACGTGGCTTGTGAGGGCTCGAATTACGGTTTCCGTGTCCTGTTTGGTATTTAATTCTCTAGGGATTGACTCTAGTTGTGGAGGATTAGGTTCGTTAAATTTAGATTTGATTTTATGCCAGCTGATGACGGTTTTGGTTAGGGGAGCGACTGTTGCTGAAGGCCCTAGCCGGAGGAGAACTGGTCGGTGATCGGAGTGAAGCCCATATTTCATCCAGATCGACCCTTTCATACCCTTTTTAGGTGGTGTAACTAGCGTCCTTACTAACGAGCATTTGACAGTGTTTATTTTTGACGCTCTATAATGATAAATGTTTCAAATACCCATTTCAAACATACCAATATTTATATAAATATAATTCGTTTCTAGCCATTACAGCCATTTTTCGCGCAAACTCAGAGAGGTGCGATTTTTGTGACGCTGAGATATATATATATATAATCGGAATCTCGGAATCGGCTCCAGCGATTTTCATGACATTTAGTATGTGCGTTTCAAATCGCCGCAAAATAAAATGTTATAATAGCTCGGTCGGTAATCGGGCGGCCCCAAAACAGACGGCCGTGGTTCGTATCACGATCATTTACACACTTATTTTATTTTTACTTTTTTTTCTATACCAGATCATTTTCTTTATACTTTATATTTTTTATTTCCAAAATACATAATTTACCAAAAAAACCGGTCCTCCAGGTACTTTTTTTTATATGAAAAGTGTTAAAACAGGGAAATATAATGTTTCGATCGCATTTTTCCCAATATTACACCGCAAATTTTCTTTATAGCACGCGGACAGCATAACTAATTAAATCTTAATAATTTGCGACGTATATGGACAATAGTGACAAAAGAACCTATCTCAATTTGCGAATCACTTCAAAATCTTGCCGATGCTGCGGGTGGTTTCTTTGCAAAGTTGGTAAATCCTGTTGATGGCGATGGTCGTCTCGGGGAAATCCAGGACGTGTCGTGCCCTGTGCTTTGGAACGTAAAAAGTATCAGCCTATACATATGCCACTGCTAGGCAAAGGCCTTCTCTGTACAGAGGGTATCAGGACATAGTCCACCACGCCGCCCCACTGCGGATTGGCGGACTTCACATATTTTCGAAATATGTTTTTTGTTACTATTTCGAAAATTTCCAGGTTTCCTCACGATATTTTCCTTCGCCGCTTAGCACGTGATAATTCAGGACATAGAATTAACAATTTCATTGGTGCCGGCACTGGGGATCGAACTGAGCTATCACGGCTGGCGCCCGAACATACCTAGCGTGTACCTTTTTCTGTAGGCACCTACAACTAATTGATTAGGCTGAGGGCGATGGACTCAAAGTAACGGCGACGCCGATTTCGGGTATTGAGTAATGGTAGGAGCTCTAAATCTATGTGCAGGTCGATGTTGCACATTAACCCGTGGCACTGCGGAATGGCACCTAATGGCGCGAGAAATAGAGAGTCACTTTTGACGGTATTGCAGTTGGCCGGCAATGTTGCCGGAACCAGTCACCAGCGGTGATTCTTATGGCCTTCTGCTACCAAGTAGGAGTCGCGGTGGGAGAGGAGTCTCGGTATGGCGGTGCGCCATTCTCACTACCCACCGCGGCCCGCGATGAGCGGCGGAGCCACAGACCAGGTCTGCCGCTGGGGGCTGGGAATATTTCTGCTTATTGGCACTGGCTCTCCTGGCTCTCATGGACTCTGGTCAGCGAACTTGGGGGAGTTCGTTGTCCGTAAAAAGGGGCCCAAGGAGGAAGATGCACCAAATATTCCAGCGCGCCTTACCTGGAGGAGAGGTGACTTTCTCCCCGGGAGAGGGCTGCTCAGCCTCAGCCAGCGCTGGCAGGGTCGCGGAAGTGTGCGAAAGCGTTCCCGTGGCCCTGCCGATGTGCGCCTAGGTGGAACATTTTGGGGGATTTAGTCGGTGCGAGTCCGGCATAACCCGCTCTTGCCCCCGCGAGAGCGGGAATGCGTAGTCATTTCCCTCACGTTAACAAAAGAAATAAGGCTAGAGCGATCCGATCTGTTGGATAGGCAGTTCGGATTGCGCAAGTACTCCGAGTGAGGCCATTTGCACGGCAGTTTCCATAGTGTGATCGACTCTCGCCTTACAGTCTCTTCAAGGCTCTGTCTTTGTGTTGGATTATAATTACTATTTTTAACTAAAGTCTACAATTTATTGTTAAAAAAACCCAAAACAATGCATTAAATTAATATTTTGGTTAAGCATAATTATTTACTGATGAAATGCAGCTAGCGTTCTTGACACCATTCTGCGTGGGCTAGATTCGTTTGTTGACGCATTTTTGTGTTACTTTAAATTCATCATATTCATTTTTGACATTTAGCTTCGATGTGTTTTCGCACAGCACTTGTGATCTGCCTTTGCCCAATTTTTTTTCCTTACAACTTGCATTTCGCACTTTCAGCGTTAATGAATGTGACATAAGTCCAAATTTCCTTTTTTTTTTCCACATCAAACAAACTTGAATGAGACGGTAAAAACAAAAAAATTTAATGAGCTTGGTGTGAATAAAGTTACAACCGGCTTATGTTCGGCTTATACATGGACGACCTTTTAGGCGGTCTTTATTCAATATATTTATTTAATTGGCATTCGTAAATTATTCGATTGTGAAAGATCCATTAACAGTACTCGTATCAATAGTACATAGTACATGTGTTAGTACAATAGACGCGTGTTTTTTCAACGACGTTCATAAATGTTTAATTAGCTGACGTTTCTCAGACATTATTGTTTGTGTCATAAATGTATATTTACATAAGACAAAAAATAAAAAACAATCATTATTGACACAAATGTGCAGATATTACATATAACGTTCCAATATAATAAGTTATTTACATGTGTTTCATTTTTGTCGAATATGTTAATGTAACTTCGGCGACGTAGAGGTTTTTGTTTTATTATGTCCGAAGGTGGCAAGTTTGCCCGCAGTTCACACGATGGTAATTGACTACAGGTTGCAGATTCATTGCCACCTTTTAATAAAGTCGGCTGCCTCACTTACCTGACGAAACGCAGAAGTATAACACTTTTACTTCACGTCGGTATTAAGTGAGGTCGTGGTCCTAACCCGGACGGACCTGTCCATTAGTAGAACAGCAAAGACTGCTGCGTAGCCCTACCACCGAAGGTTACTCAGAAATTATCAGTCTCGTGGCCTTTAGATAGTTTTAAACAGTAACAAAACTCCCATTACACCGTTATAGGATTACCTTAATAGGATGGTGCGAAAGTTATAATGGAAATATTAAGAATATTTATATGGTTATAGTTCCAGGCAGCATTTTAATGTCATAAAATTCATCAAATTTCATCCAGAGTTTTTGGCTTTGAAATGTTACTGCTAAACCACAGAAACCTTTCTTCGATGAAAAATACAGTAATTTTTTGGGGAAACGCGACCGATTATGAAAATAAAAAAAAAGCCATTCTAGCAGTTTATCACCTGGGCTAAAAAAATCACTAAGAAATTTGTTCAAAGAAAGAATTCGCGCAGAATAAGTTACCTTTTACAATAAAATCCCAGAAAGCGCTCAAAATGTATCCGTTGCTAAATTTGCAAAAAAACTTGTAAAGGAACGTTTGTGTTAAAGGCTATAAATAATGATCTATAAAAACTGCAAAGATCTAAAAAAAATCTAGTCTGTTGTATGGGAGCCCAACTTAAATATTTTTTATTTTATTTTTTATATAGCGACAACAGAAACACATCATCTGTGAAAATTTCAACTACCTGACTATGACGTTTCATGAGATACAGCCTAGTGGCAGCGGAGTCTTAGTAATAGGCTCTCGTTTTACCCTTTAGTTACGGAACCCTAAAAACAACAATTGGTGACTTGAATAACAGATCATAAGATTCAAATGATTATTATTACACATCTACATAAATGCGTAACACGGGACAAACAATAATGTGAGATCTCTTAATAAAACATCTAATAGTGTTTAAATATTTCCATCTGTACTATCTATCTTAATCCTCACGAGTACATTCTAAAACTTCTTAATGAATTGCATTATTTGATGATGTTGGCGAAAGTTTTATTTTAGGACCTTCAAGTTTCCTCATCAGAAAGCAACAAAGATAATATAATATTAATATTTTCTTTTAAAAGAACGTTACAAATAAGTAATCTTACGCTAAATACATTTCTTAACAATATTACAAAAATTTTAATTTATTCACCTGCGTTGACTCCGTGAAATATGCAAACAACATTTAATAACAAAAAAAACTTAATCATCTTGAAAGACAAAGAGCGTCTGTCCGCCGCGAAACTTGTACGTGCGTTTATATAGCGATTATTCGTAACATGTAACCAATTAAATAAGTAATAAAACGTATAGCCACAGATAAGAAACTTTTTGCGAGCAAACAACATAATATTATTAATAGCGGAAAGCAATATATTATTGGAAAACTTAACTTTCAATATCTCCTATTACACGAAACTATGCATTAATCATGTCAATTTAAACGCACATATAATACGAATAAAGCAGGACATAACTATTTTTCTTTTTAATACTTGTCTTGTAGAAAGTACCGAATAAAATCTATAAAAGATACATTCAGCAAGGTACCGGAAACTAGTGGATTTCCCGTCAGACGTAGTTTTCCCCCTAGTTTGTTTGTTGCCCAAAAGCGGCTTGTTTTTTCTTTTAAAGGGTAAGTACGTATGTGCAATATAAAGCTCCTGAGCCACACAAAATTGTTCCTGTTTATAAATAATCCTTGATAGATGAAAATGGAAAATAAAAATTTTAGGACAGGCGTTGCTAAATAAAACACATACCTAACTTGGCTAAAAAGAGAAGAAAGAAGAAAAGTTTTTTTTGTTGCTGACCGTACCAAAAGATTTTTTTGTACATTTTTTTATGTGAAAAGTTGCCAAGCGAGCAGACGGTTCAACTGATGTTAAGTGAATACCGCCGCCCATGGACATCTGCCACACCCGACGGTTCGAGATACGTTGAGAACCTTTTGAAAATTGGGATCCGGCCACCTCACTCATCAGACGAAACGCGAAAGTATTGTACTTCGACTTTACGCCCGTCTTCTGTGAGCTCGTTGTACATACACGGACGAGCCTGCCCATTTGTGCAACAGCCGAGACTGTTGCGTGGCCCTACAACCGTGACATTATGAGATTCATAAGTACCAAGATACGACCATTGGCGTACCCGGGGTGTGTCTTAATCTAGACTACTATATACAGTACGTAGACAAGGCAGCTGTCCTAGATCTAACTTAACACTTTTCGGCACTTTATTCTTTCCGTCAATTTACCATATGAGTTACTTATATTTACGTTCGAATATGATAATACTATTTATGTTCATATACATTATTGTATAAACTATCTATCCTAATGGCGACTTTTATATGGATTATGAATTTCTCGATTTTTTTTTGGCATGTAGACAGCTTGATCAAAAAGGCTTTTGTAATTTTTAATTATTGTATATTCTCGATTATCACAAAAAACTGTACTGGTGAGGTTTTCAGAACAATGGTTACAATTTTGATTTACGAATGTCAATTTCATTTTATATTAACGTATGGAGTTTTTGTTATACAGCAGTTATTTTCCTCCCATAATTTTAACTTTTCTTGCACGAAGAGGCTGTACTGGCTGTTGCTGGCTTCGTGGTGGGGGACTCGGTCGTAGACCCGTAGGTCTGTTTAGTTTTCGGAGTAGACATCATCCCAGTTGACTTATCGCCCCCAGACGATGAATCCTCCACAGAACTGCCTGCGAAACTGCCTGCCGCAGTTTGCACCGAGGTGCCAGCATCAGATACCGATGCCTTAGCGGCACTCCCAGCTAATGCAACACTGGACACTTCGGCTGGAAAAATAAAAATTTGTCATGCAAAGTGTATATATATATATATATATATATATATATATATATTTATACACTTATATATATATATACACTTTGCATCAGAAGTATACAATTATAATATCTTATTTTAACGGTATGTAGATTTATAAAAGAAAAATGTAAAAATGTTAAAGATGAGGAAAAAAAAACAAATACAAAAACTAAAACCTAAACGTTTTGAAAAATAACATCTAAAGATTATATGTTTATTTCCATTTTGATTTTGGCAATCCAGAATCACCTGCAACCATCGACTTCGCGTTTTCTCGACTTGCATTTGCACAGGTCGTCAGTACAAATGTCGTCCCACACTACGATGTCCAATATGGGGCTGCCACTCGACAACCTTTCTTCTCCATCAGCTATCTTTGTCGTTACCTACATATATGTCGATCCCAAAAATGTTTACCCCGTTTGGGGATCAGATCTACAAACGCGCTGTTAGACAGTAGTTGGATAGGTAACTTTAAAAAAATATACAATAAACGATTAGACTACCGAGTCTGAACCCCTGTGTAAATTTGGGCACTTCTCAATCTCCCTGTATGTGTACTCACGTAAGAAGTTATACTTTTTTACAAAAAGACCCGCACGTCAAACTAGCGCTTTTCGCGGATGACACGGCGCTCTTTTACACAGACAAAAATCTTAATCATCTCACTACTCGTCTCCAAAGCGCCGCCGACCGCCTTGGCGAATGGCTCCGCAAACGGAGAATAGAAGTATGGAAGAATAGAAGTAAATCCCGAAAAGAGTGTGGCGATTCACTTCACACGAATTACTTATCCGTCATATCTTTATAAAGAACCTCGCCAATGCAGAAAGCTAAGGCAAAAATCTCTCTATGGCCAACCACTCCCCTGGGAGAAAAAGGTCAAATGCGCATGACGTTCACGTCGCGTATTAACGACAGTAGAAACAGAGCCGCGTTCGTCTCCAGCTGTCTCTATCACCTACCTAATACGTCAATTAAAATGCCCTTAATGCACAAATTATTATTATATAAGGGCTGCGTAAGACCTATTATGTACGCGTATATGACCTACGCCCACACAAACCCTACTCGCTTGTACAAGTTGCAAATAGTACAAAATAAGTTTACCACGCCAACTAACACAACGCGTACACTCTCGTTCCAGGGCGGTTCTTACCGCCCCGAGCCACCGACTAACCAAGTACAGTCAACGGCCATCGGGATCACGGTTCGCACCGAACCTCGATGGCCAATAGGCGACTTGCCATAATTAACGCATGCATGAGTACATGAGCGGCACTACCCACTGAGGAGGGCCTCAAGCCCGTGGGTTCTGGCTAGCCCACCGGTTCTACGTTCGAAGAAGCTTTAATGGTCTAAGGACTGAAAGCGTAACATCAGTAATACAAATACACTTCTTTATCGTAACAAAATAAAAATAATTAAAACTTATTTCCTGGTCCAGTACTCTTTATTTGTGAATAAGACGTTAAATGCAATTGTTAACGGTTTAATTAAATAAATAACTAGGAATTATAGGTAAATGTCAAAAAGTTTTTATTGGTTGCCATGAAGTTGGTCGCTTTGCAACAAACTTAATCATGTTGATTTTGTGCGCGCAAATCGTAAAAATTTTACTTTAATATTTTTTTTCTCACCTGCATTAGATAAATGCGCCAAGCACAAAATAAACAAAAGTAACAGAAACCGCTCCATTGTAAAAATTTCTTCACGTTATGCCACAGTCCATTTAAAATTGAAGCTTTTATACCAGTTTCGTAATTAATACTATCTCAGTCTCTTTTTCAAGATAATTGCATTTATATCATGGTAATTTATATAAGACCGGTTCTGAAAATAATGTTACTTAAATTAAATGATAAAAAGGACGCTTTTAAATGTTAATCATTAAACCTCTTTCGCCTTCTGATAATTAATATTCTAATTGAAGTATATAAAAGTTTAACTTTGTTTTACAACGTTTAAAAATCGAAATTAAATAAAAACTTATAACATATATATCTTACTGTACGTAATATATATAGTTTGTACGTTTTTAGATATCATGCGTTTTCTGTTAAATCGAGTTATTTTAAACTAGTTGCTTACTGCTTTCATCAAAACTAAAATTTCCTCGTTTTAAGTAGAATTTACATCTTTATATGTATATTGTAATTTTAAATAAAACTAGTTCTAACCCTGAACCTTAGTTAAAACTACTATTGTAAAAACTTGTTGGAGATTATTGACATGAATAAATCTTTGTAAATATTAAATAAAAATCATCATCTTACTTAAAGTAACATCGTTAGGGAGCATCAACATTTATAACAATATTGCCAAGGCGACAATATTAATTTCAGGTACCTATAAGAGTTCTAACGTTTTCACCTTGATCCTAATATTTTAACTATTACGGAACTTCAATATTAACAACTATTATAACGACAAGCAGCACTAGTGGTTATATCACCGTCCGGGAACGCGGCCAAAATCCAAGTCACTACCGCTCCATGCGACCATGTGTCCCTTAGCTCGAGTAGAAACGTCATATCCGGTAAACAGTGTTGTCAGCGCCAACATTCAGCCGTCCTGCATCACGCCTTCGTCCTCGAAGGGCGTTGTAGTCTGGTACAAGTAACCTTTATAAAATTAACACCTTACCCTGTGGCTTATCTCCCTCAAGTGGGATGAATATCGCCACGTTCAGAACACCTTACACTGTGGCTTATCCCTCAACTGGGATGCATATCGCCACGTTCAAAACACTTATCCTGTGGCTTATCCCTCACAACTGGGATGCATATCGCCACGTTCAAAACACTTATCCTGTAGCTTATCCCTCACAACTGGGATGCATATCGCCACGTTCAAAACACTTACGCTGTGGCTTATCTCTCACAACTGGGATGCATATCGCCACGTTCAAGTCTTAAATTTTCCAACTAATAAATGCTCGGTAGCTTAACCGGGTAAACCATTTTGTATCGCTATTTAACATTTTCTCAAATATGTTTAAGTAATTAATTAACTGGAAGGTACTCACCAAAACTTTCGTTACATTTAACTAAAAGATTTTATCACCATTACGTATAGTATCTATAAAACACACTGTTCCAAGGAGAAAATATGTCGCCGATTGTTTGAATAGCCAAACGCGAGTTTTCGTATAGTATCCCACTTCTGATATAAGAGTTCTAACGTTTTCACCTTGATCCTAATATTTTAACTATTACTGAACTTCAATATTAACAACTATTATAACGACAAGCAGCACTAGTGGCTATATACCTAACATAAATAATATAATCAAATAAAAGAAAGTCAAAGAAGAAACACAGCTTAATAAAAACAAACATAAAAATGAAATGAAGTTAGTACCTACTTCTGTCTTCTGTTTTTACACGACAAACTATCGTATAACATGATTGCTATTTTTCTTATATCTTTTTGATACACACCCTTTATAGCGCGTATAAATCCTTGGTCTAAAGATAATTCCAAATTTAAATTAAGAAAAAGTGTAATTTTCATTTGTTTTTCTTAATGTTAAAATGAGATATTTATGGACCTAGTGCAGTGTCTGTGACAGTAGCACAAATTTGGTTTAAGAGTTTTCAATCCGATAATTTTGAAGTCAAAGATGCACCTCGCTCTGGGTGCCCTGTTATAAAATGGATGCCATCTTTGAAAAAGTGAAACAAGATCGGCGTATCAGTAGTTTCGATGTAGCTGAAGGCTTGGGAATTGACCACGAAACAGTTTTGGCGCATTTGAAAAAAGCTGGGTACATAAAAAAGCTCGATATTTGGGTGCTTCATGAGCTCACTGAAAGAAACCTAATGAACCGTGTACTCATTTGTGATTCTTTATTATGACGTAATGAAACCGAACTATTTTTTAAAAACCTAATAACTGGTGATGAAAAGTGGATCACGTACGATAAAACGTGCGAAAAAGGTCGTGGTCAAAGGCTGGTCAGGCTTCACAGACTCTAGCAAAATCTGGGTTATCTCGCGACAAGGTAATGCTGTGTGTATGGTGGGTTTGGACGGGTATTATTCATAATCAGCTGTTACCGCCTGGCAGGACCATTGATTCTGAACTCTACTGCGAACCACTGATGAGATTAAATCAAGAAGTAGGTGTGGTTTTTCATCATGATAACGCTAGACCTCACACATCTTTAGCCACTCAGCAAAAATTAAGTGGGAGGTGTTAATGCCGCCATATAGTCCTAACCTTGCGCCTTCATATTTCCACTTGTTTCGGTCTCTTCAGAATTATTTAGGCATTGTCAGGTTAACATCACGAGAGGACTGCCAAAACCACTTGCCACGGTTTTTTATCAGACGCCCCAGAATTTCTATAGCAATGGGACCATGTCCTTACCTACAAGATGGCAGAAAGTTATCGAACAAAATGGAACCTACGTACTTTAGTTAAATGTAAATAAACTTTATTAAAAAATGTTTTGTATTTTCATATAAAATGCGAAGAAACTTTTTCCCCAACCTATTATTTGTTGATAATTCCATATTTTGCTTCAATCTTGTTAATAACTTTGTTTATATTTTTGAAGATATTAGATTAATATTAGATCTAGAATAGATTAAATCAGCAGTAGATCTGCTTTTGCTCTGTTTACATCCGAAATCTGTAAAATAACGTTATCAGTGATTTCTACTGGAATGTTTATTGAATGTGAAGGCAGCGTCATTCTCATGAGCTGTTTTTCTGAATTTTATGAGCTGTATCTATATTTTTGTCTGTCTTTACATTTAAGGATGGTTACTGCAACTAGCTAAAATTTCAGTTTCGGTTCGTGCGGTTACCGCATTATCTGTAGGAATTAATTATTTTAAAACATTATTTTTATAAATTATTTATTTAAAACATTCAACAAAACATTTACGAGATGAATGTGATCTCGTAAATGTTTTGTTGAATGTTTTAATTTATTTTTTTATATTCTTAATAACATTAAAGGGTAAAGTCGAAGTCGTACGACCTTTTTCCTTTCTTTTTTTGTTCACGGGGGAGAATGCTTAACCATACCCGCTCTCACGAGGGCAAGGGTTCCACCTAGCCGTATATCGGCAAGACCACGGGAAACATTTCGCACACTTCCGCGACCATACCAGCGCTAGCCGCCTCAACAGCCCCTCTCTTCCAGATAAGACACGTTGGAACATTCAACGCGCCTTCCCACTCGGCCTCTTTTTCACGTCAAACGAACTCCTCCGAGTTCGCCGACCATAGGGCTTGGCAAAGGCA